TGTAATGCTGCTGTAGGATGTCCGAAGTGGATGTTAGCACCTTTAAGGAGGAATCTTTCGAATGTTTTTTACGAGTGGTGGTCACCACCCGTCATGTTCCTGCCTACGCTTTCCTGCTGCGGCTGTTTGTGTTGTGATACAGTACAGTGTTGTTTGCTCTGGGAATGATACAGTACAGTGGTGTTTGCTCTGCATCTGATATTGTGTATCCTCTGCATCTGATAAAGTACAGTGGTGATTTCACTGGATCTAATATGTTTTTTCCTCTGGGTCTGATACAGTGCAGTGGTGTTTCCTTTGCGTCTGATACAGTACAGTGGTGTTTGCTCTGGGTCTGATACAGTACAGTGGTGTTTGCTCTGCGTCTGATATTGTGTATCCTCTGCATCTGACACAGTACAGTGGTAATTGCTCTGGATCTGATATGGTGTTTCCTCTGCATCTGATGCAGTACAGTGGTGTTTGCTCTGGGTCTGATACAGTACAGTGGTGTTTGCTCTGGATCTGATATGGTGTTTCCTCTGCATCTGATACAGTGCAGTCAGTGGTGTTTGCTTTGGGTCTTGTACAGTGGTGTTTGCTCTGCGTCTGATACAACGCAGTGGTGTTTTCTCTGGATCTGACACAGTACAGTGGTGTTTGCTCTGGATCTGATATGGTGTTTCCTCTGCGTCTGATACAGTACAGTGGTGTTTGCTCTGGGTCTGATACAGTACAGTGGTGATTTCACTGGTCCTGATACAGTACAGTGGTGATTTCTCTGGATCTGACACAGTACAGTGGTGTTTGCTCTGGATCTGATATGATGTTTCCTCTGCATCTGACACAATACAGTGGTGTTTGCTCTGGATCTGACACAGTGCAGTGGTGTTTGCTCTGCATCTGACACAATGCAGTGGTGTTTTCTCTGGATCTGACACAGTGCAGTGGTGTTTGCTCTGGATCTGATATGGCGTTTCCTCTGCGTCTGATACGGTACAGTGGTGTTTGCTCTGGGTCTGATACAGTACAGTGGTAATTTCACTGGTCCTGATACAGTACAGTGGTGATTTCTCTGGATCTGACACAGTACAGTGGTGTTTGCTCTGGATCCGATATGGTGTTTCCTCTGCATCTGATACAGTACAGTGGTGTTTGCTCTGGGTCTGATACAGTACAGTGGTGTTTGTTCTGGGTCTGACACAGTACTGTGGTGTTTTCTCTGGATCTGACACAGTACAGTGGAGTTTGCTCTGGGTCTGATAAAGTACAGTGGAGTTTGCTCTGGATCTGATATGGTGTTCCCTCTGGGTCTGATACAGTACAGTGGTGTTTGCTCTGGGTCTGATACAGTACAGTGGTGATTTCACTGGTCCTGATACAGTACAGTGGTGATTTCACTGGATCTTATATGGTGTTTCCTCTGCATCTGATACAGCACAGTGGTGTTTGCTCTGGGTCTGATACAGTACAGTGGTGTTTGCTCTGGGTCTGATACAGTACAGTGGAGTTTGCTCTGGGTCTGATAAAGTACATTGGAGTTTGCTCTGGACCTGATATAGTGTTCCCTCTGTGTCTGATACACTACATTGGTGTTTGCTCTGGATCTGATATTGTGTTTCCTCTGCATCTGATAAAATACAGTGGTGATTTCACTGGATCTGATATGGTGTTTCCTCTGCATCTTATACAGTACAGTGGTGTTTGCTCTGGGTCTGATACAGTACAGTGGTGTTTGTTCTGTTTTCTCTGGATCTGACACAGTACAGTGGAGTTTGCTCTGGGTCTGATAAAGTACAGTGGAGTTTGCTCTGGATCTGATATGGTGTTCCCTCTGCGTCTGATACACTACAGTGGTGTTTGCTCTTGATCTGATATTGTGCTTCCTCTGCATCTGATAAAGTACAGTGGTGATTTCACTGGATCTGATATGGTGTTTGCTCTGCGTCTGATACAGTACAGTGGTGTTTGCTCTGCATCTGATACAGTACAGTGGTGTTTGCTCTGGGTCTGACACAGTACAATGGCGTTTGCTCTGGATCTGACACAGTACAGTGGCGTTTGCTCTGGATCTGATATGGTGTTTCCTCTGCGTCTGATACAGTGAGTACAGTGGTGTTTGCTCTGCATCTGATACACTACTGTGGTGTTTGCTCTGGATCTGATATTGTGTTTCCTCTGCATCTGATAAAGTACAATGGTGATTTCACTGCATCTGTATGGTGTTTTCTCTGCGTCTGATACAGTACAGTGGTGTTTGCTCTGCATCTCTACTTGTGTCTTTTCCAGATGCACAGGATGAAACATCCAGATAATTAATGACTACGGCTCTCCTCACTAAAGTGAATCTTACAAAATGTGTGGTCACAACCCCCGCAGTCATATTTTTTTTAAGTATATACAGTATATTTTTCAGAAATAAAATTGTTTTATGACAAGATGTTTTGCATTTGTACTTTTTTGTGACAAACCTTAAGAAAGACATGACAATACTGAGAGAAGTTTCTAAACCAGTATGAGCCATATATTTAGCCAAATTGAGATTCAGTATCAGCACTGAAACCTTTTTATTAACTTGTTTTTTGTTTCATTGTTGTTATTATTATACAATTGTTTATTTATAAATGCAAAGTATTTAATACTTATTTATATTTATGTAATATCTATCATTAAATTGTTTTATAATATTATAATAGTTTTGTGTGTATGTGTGCGTAAATGTGTGTGTGTGTGTATATATTTATATATATTGTATGTTATATTAAAAAAGCGATAATTACAATTATTAAAAAAATATGATTAATTATTTTATGATATAGTATAAAAAGACATGTATTATTTATTTCAAATGTTGAATTTAATAAATAAATAATTGTCGCTTGAATTTTTGTGCACATATTATTTGCTATTAAATACAAAATAAAATTATTTTTATTTAATATTAAAATATAGTATATGCAGATTATATACAATAGTATTTAATGTATTTTGAAATATTTATTAAATTTAAGTGTTGACTTAACTATTTGTGCACATCTTGTGTGCTTATTAACGTAAACATTATTGTAATGGGAATATAAGCTAAACATTTGCTTAATTGTGTGCTTTATGTAATGTGAAAAATGGTCTCCAAAATAGCCTTTATTTTCTCTATGCAAAAATGATCATATCTATCTTTGTTGATCTTGGAATGAAATATGAGCGGGCGTGTTCTTGCTGTATTTAGTGAGGTTCACCCGCTGATGTGTCTGAGTCATCAGATTCTCTCCGTCACTGGTGTGACTAGAGATTGATTAATCAGACACAAACACACAGAGACCCAAAGGCTTTGTATGTTTGTTGCTTATTATTAGCTGATCCTTCAACCCAGGATTTATATAGTCATATAGGCAGTCATAATCAAGATTATTTTGGTCAATATTATAATTGTGATTTAATTACGTTTTTTAGTTGATTTTCATAAATCAAAATCATAATTTGCTCACTCTCATGTTGTGTTTTGATTGTTTTTACAAAAAGGAGTATTTTGTAAAACTTTGGTGCTTATTAACTTTTATTGGAGCCTCTTGAGCTACACCAGCCACTTTATTCACCCATGTCCTTCTAAAATAAAAGGATTTTGCAATGTTCTGTTTTGTGAAAGATATAGGTTTTTGTTCTTTATATATTTAAATACTTTTTGCCCGTTTTATGAAAATTAGCTTGAAATGGAATTAGCCCTGGGTATCGATTCAGGGGTTGAGCAAATATTGTTCTCCCATAGCTTTGGTGGTACTTAGTGGTGAAGTTCATTTGAACCGTTTTCTTTCTGTGTAAACTGAAAACACAGTCTTTTTTTCTCTCTGTATCATATATCACAACCTTATCAGACACCAGTAACCTGTTAATGTTTTTAATCAGACACCATATAACCAAACATGTAGTTAAAACCAAAATTTCTCCATTTTGATTCGTTGCTTGTCAGTGTTTCTCACCTGGTGTAAAGTTTCCTCAAGTCTACAGTAAAGAAACCAAAATTATTTCAGTTCTAAATGTACAAGAGGCATTTGATTATCTCTCATACTGTTACTGTGTTTTTGGCATGTGAAACATTGAAGGCCAGGTCTGTGTGCGCCGAGCTAATTGTTCTGTTTTTCAGGAACACTGAATCATTCCTCCCTTTATCCCTGTGCCCTTCCCTCACAGCGAGAGAGGAAATTATTCACACTGAACAGATTTGTGTTAAATCCAGTTTGAGTTTTAGGTTCAAACATGTTACTAAACGTGTATGAGAATAATGAATGTTTTAATGTTCCCCTCATATGTAGTGGGTCATATATCTGTTTGTGAATATAAAAGATCCGCAAAGTTTCATAGATCAAAGTGCTGAAAAATGGACAAAGAACCGATTCTGAGCAGCCTGAAACGAGTTGTCAGTAATTCCAGTCAATTTGTATAATACTTTGACTCGGCTCGTTGTTTCTAAAGCCCGGAAGAGTTTGGATCGTTTGGTCAAAGACGCTGTTTCTGCTCTGCGAAGTAAATCCACTTTCAAAGACTCGAATTGATACGATTATACTGACCCCATTGTTACTGTTCGTACAAGGACTGAAAAAGCTCAGGAACTGAAATTCAGATATATTACAGGGCGTTTTGTTTCCAACACGTGCTAGACCACAATAGACCTGGACATCTGACCAATCAGAGCGGAGTTGGCTTGAAAGGAGAGGTTTAGAGAGACTGAAACCTTTGTTGAACCTTTTAGACACTGTGAGAAAAGAGGTGATGCTGCAATGTATATTATGCGAATATTATTAGCGTTTTATGATTTAAACCTATTGTTGGAGACCTACAGAACAAAATTAGAAACAATAGTATAATATGAGGACGTCGTCTTTGGCACAACATTAATGATCAGTCCAAGAACATGTAACTTGGCTGAATTTTGATGTCAAAGCTTTTCTACTTTCCTAAAGCTGTGCATGTTGAATGCATGAGATATATAATTGTCTTATCTATCTTTCTTCCTTTTGCATATGCAGCGGACATTATCTCAACTGTTGAATTTAACTATTCTGGGGAGTTACTAGCCACAGGAGACAAAGGGGGAAGAGTCGTCATATTCCAGAGAGAACAGGAGGTGATGCAACCCAAAGATCCATTTTTTTAATTAGATTTTTTTTTTATGTGTGACTCAATAGATGTGTTAACCAGTGTGTTCAATGTGTCTCTTCACAGAGTAAAAACCGCCCACTCTCAAGAGGGGAATACAACGTGTACAGCACTTTTCAGAGTCATGAGCCTGAGTTTGATTACTTGAAAAGTTTAGAAATCGAGGAGAAGATCAATAAAATCCGATGGCTCCCGCAACAGAACGCTGCACACTTTCTCCTGTCCACAAATGGTATGAAGAGTACATCTTTTTTTTGTGTGCTATCATTCGAAAGTTTGGGGTCATTAAGATTTTATTGATTGTAAAGTAATTTCTGCAAGGATGCATTAAAGGTAGGGTTGGCCATTTCAATAGCAAGCCATCTTTGAAAGCATTAGATTCGTCCAGTGCGCTCTAAAGCCACACCACATGGTCACACACAGACGGAGCAGATTTAGAAAAGTGTCACGAGAGATGGCATTCAATTACCTTAAAATTGTCTCAAAGCACATAACTTTAGAATAATAATGAACATAAACAACTTACAAAGCTCTGACTTGTACCAGCTGACTGCTGCAGATTTATTTAGCCGTTGATTGTGTTGGCAGAGTAACGCAGAAATCCAAGTGTGAGGACGTCAACTCCTCCAGGTTACAGATTACCATCTTCTTGTAATTATGGTTACAACATGTAGCATAAGCTGACAGGCAGGTAGGACATCCTATCATTGCATTCGGACCAAAGGCAATGATTGGGACATTTTTCGGTCCTAAATAGATATATTTATTTATTTTATTTGTATATTTTATGCTTACCAAGCTCACTAATATATAGCTTGGCAAGCATAATATACTTCTTTTTTCAAGAATGTGAAAAAAATCATACAGACCCCAAACTTTTGAATGGTATGTTTTCTATAGATGTTCCCAAACTATTTGAGCTGCCTACTTTTACCTTTAGATATTATTGTGATCATCCTGACAAAAATATGTTGTATTTTGCACTGATTAAAGGAAAATATGGTTGCTTTTTGGCTCCATTTTAGCTTACTAGGTTTTAGATATGCAGTTTGTCTGTTACTGATTTGTGTAATTTTCTTATCAAAAAGACAAAACAATTAAACTATGGAAGATTAGTGAAAGGGACAAACGAGCGGAAGGATACAACCTTAAAGACGAAGATGGAAGACTGCGAGATCCGTTTCGAATCACATCACTACGGGTTAGTCTGTCTCTTCATTCCCATGACATTCTGAGTTGCAGGTGCAGCCAGTAACTGTGCAGTGAAACACTGGTTTTTAGTTAATCAATATTTAATTCATATATAAAGTCATTCACTGTGATATCAAAAAGCATATCGAAAAGTTCTGTAAACATGAGTAGTTATATGTTCCCGGTTGTCAGTGTTGCATGACAGTTTAACTTAATTTAATGTCAAGTTGTCATGACAAAGACACTCACAGGTTATGATGTTATGGTTTGTCAAGATCGATGTAATGACAAAGACATCTTAAACAATGTCATATTTGAGCGAAATACACTTAATGACCGTTGTCATTAACATGCATAAACCCTACTTTATATTCAAGACATACTGTATGTCATGGTTATTAAGGTGTCATGTCAGTCTTATGCACACCCCTTCAAGTAAAGTGTTATTTAACTAACAATGAAAAAAAAAGTATACATTATTTTTGTTAACTATTGCATTAACCCAAACTGGTTTGTGAGATAATTCAAATTAATCATAAAATTATTAAAATAAAACAAAAAAGTAATATTGCATTTGTTTTCCTGCATGTCATGTGACCTTTAATTGACATCAGAGAACTGTGAGCATGTGAATGTGTTAAAATTATGGAAAATCGTAAGTAACATTGGTTGTCTCGCAGGTTCCTGTGCTGATGCCGATGGACTTGATGGTGGAAGCCAGCCCACGCAGAATATTTGCAAACGCACATACATATCACATCAATTCCATTTCAGTAAATAGTGATTATGAAACATACCTTTCTGCAGACGACCTCAGAATAAACCTCTGGCATTTAGAAATCACAGATAGAAGTTTTAGTATCCTTTACGTGATTTGTGACTTGTTTATTTTGCTATCAAGGTGTTTATTTAAACTTCTATTTGTGCCTCAGTAGTACTCAATTAAGTTTTCATGACCACTTTACACCTTTAGAACTGTTTTATATGCTGCTGTACCTTATGTAAACATCCTGTATGCAGATATGTTTGGGGTTTTGCCCTTGCCCATCCTTTAAAGGTGCAGTAAGCGATTCTGAAGAAAAAAAAAAATGTTGAAATCAACACCCAAACACACCCAACCCTCCCTTCATTTCTCAGTCCACAAAAAACTGGAAACACTATGCAACACAGGCAACATCTAGCTAGACAGCTTGCGCAAGTATGGATGAATCCGCTGTGATTCAACAACATCATCATAGTACGTCTTGATTCATTGAAACAGCAATGTTACTCGCGTATCGAGCAAAAACATCGCAACCTGTTTTCATGCCTTCCTGCTCTCTAACATATCTCCGGCGCTGGAAAGTTTTTCTAATATTAACGTGGGTCCTTGCATGATTGTAACCCTTCTTCCAATAATACTCTGATCTTTTCCTCTTTGGTAATTTCTCAGATATCTCTCTTTCTCAACTATCTTTCTTTTTGAAGAATTTGTTTAACGCTTACTGCACTTTTATTAATAACCTCTTTGCATAGCCTGAATAATGCTGCGACAGGATCTTGAAACAATATAACCAAGGCCTAAAATGAACACACGCCAAATATCTAAAAATCTATGTAAAAATTGGAGTTGGCGAGTATGAAACGGTCAATCGCCGGTCGGTGACATTTTTATGAATTCTAACAACGAACATGAACGTGAAAAAACAAGCCTTTCCAATTTAAATATTCAGTATTTAAGTTCAAGAAGACACGGGAACTGAATTCATTACTTGTGCTGTGTGGGAAGTTTTCTGTGTGCAAACATCTGAAGTACGTGTTTAAAAAGTTGAGAACTCGTGTAACAGTATTTGCATATTGGATCCGTGCATTAGCATTTAAAGTGACAGCAGCCTAATAGCCCTGCTGGTGTGTTTTTAATGTTAATCAGTCAACAAAGGACAAATAACAATCATTTATTGGTTTTGACTGAATAACAGTTGTAACTTTAAGGATTTATCTACGTTTCATGGCTGGGAAAAAATATATTTGGCCGGTACATTTTCTGAGGTCAGGTTTTAGGCCCTGAATATTACCCTTTTAACAATTAATATATACAGTATATATATATATATATATATAATATATATATATATATAAAAAATTTAAAATTAAAATATTAAATATTTAAAAAATATTAAATGTAAAAAAATATTAACTAATATTAAAAATATTAAATATTAAAATATATATATATATATATATATATATATATATTTTTTTTTTTTTTTTTTTTTAATATTAGAGGCATTGGCCAATCTTAATATATTTTAAATGTCAATTAGAAAACATCCTCCAACCACGTTTTTGTTTAGAAACCAAATTCCCAAGTAATGACCAAGGCTTGCAGCGGTGATGTCTCAACTGCTTTAAAGTGTCTGTGAACTTCTTTCTGTTGGTTTCCTTTATGATTCCCCCCTCAGACATTGTAGATATAAAACCAGCCAATATGGAGGAGCTGACAGAGGTGATAACGGCGGCCGAGTGTCACCCACACCAGTGTAACGTCTTTGTATACAGCAGTAGTAAAGGAACCATCCGCCTGTGTGACATGAGGGCCGCCGCGCTCTGCGATAGACATAGTAAATGTGAGTATTTCAAGTCAGTCCAATGTCTCTTCCGATTGTTTTTTTTTTTTTTTATCTAATCTCGCATCCCTTTATTTTCTATCAGATGGAGTCTGAATTTTTTGTGAGAATTTTCCAAAAAAAAAAAAAAGATCAAAAACTCTCACCAAAAAGCTGTGGAGAGTTCCCGGTTTGTCTGTTTTTGCCGTGTGTTTCCAGTGTTCAGTGTCAGCAGGGCCTTGTGTTACGTAATCACTGGGTTATGTAATTAATCGAACACTCTGTCCTCATTCCAGACCAACAAAGCAAAACGGCAAACTCTGGCCATTTACTTCCTGTCAAATCCACTCGTTTCATAACACTGCAAATTCATAAATGTGAAGTGTTTGGATGGGTTAAATGCACTTTATATCCGTAATAATATGGAATATTACTCCACAATATTGTGATATATTCTTGGGACTGTATAATTTCACAAATTTACTCGTGTGCTGAAGAAATTGTTAAACAGTTGTGCCGCTTAATATATTTTGTGGAAACTGACTTCTTTTTCTAATTTCTTGGGTGAATATGAAGTAAACAAGAACAGCATTTAATTTAAATGGAAGTATTTTGCAACTTTAAATTGATTAAAAGTAACCGTAAATATATTTATAATGCATTTAATGCAATATAAGTATTAATTTTTCTAGAAATAAAATCTTACTGACTGCAAACTTTTGAATGGTAGTGTACATGTGCATTGTGCACCACAGAATTGTACATTTTCTACTCAAACAAGCTGTAACATTTGAGAGAAATATCAACAAAAACATTGTGGTTTTGTTTCTCCAAAGTTTTTGAGGAGCCAGAAGATCCCAGCAGCCGGTCGTTCTTCTCAGAAATCATCTCCTCCATATCCGACGTCAAGTTCAGCCACAGCGGTAGATACATGATGACCCGCGATTACCTCTCCGTTAAAGTTTGGGACCTGAACATGGAGAACCGGCCCGTAGAGACCTACCAGGTACACTAGAGATCTGATTATTGCGACAACTGGAATTCCAGGGCATGTCCAGTCACGTTTCGCATATTTTCAGAACATGGTGTTGCACGTCTTCAATTAATACATTCTTCAGATAGCGTCGGCACCTCCCCAAAGTTTCACACAGTGCTTAAATGTGTCTTATTTTGAGAGTGATATGTTTTTGGTTGATTTCCATGTGCTTCTCTGTTTCAGGTACACGAGTACCTACGTAGTAAGCTGTGCTCGCTCTACGAGAACGACTGCATTTTCGACAAGTTTGAGTGCTGTTGGAACGGTTCAGACAGGTGCGAAACTATTTCATGCGGATGAATGTAGAGGTTTTCCAAACACTGCTTCCCACATGCTCAATAAGTCGTATTCCTACAATTCTACATTTTAAAGCAAATAATGTGACAACCGTTATTTTATATATATATATATATATATATATATATATATATATATTTTAGGGATGTGCAAAGCAGCCGCTATTTGTATCTGTATTTATATTTGTTGAGGGGGGAAAAGTATGTGTTTGTATTCAAGTAAGGCCACGCCCCCTTGTCAGGTTCTGACGTTTAATGACGTAGGGCTAGCTCATTGGTCGCACTTCAGAGGCCCCCGCGCCATTGTATGTGCAGTTTCCACAGCACAGCCTGTGAGTATATAGAGAATATAAAATATTAATAATTTATTTCATTTATATATGTATATATATATATATATATATATATATATATATATATACAGACATATATAGACAGGAAGTGCAATAATCAGGCTTCAAGTCTTCTCCATTGAAATCAATGGGGTTGCTCTGTCCATTTCTTTTACTGTCTATGTTCTGGATACTCCATCTGGCGTGTGTAATGATGACTATTCTCTCTGACCAATCAGCAGTCAGCATTGTTTTCACGTGACATTTTAGTATCGCCTCAGCTCGCTCAGAACCTCGCCAGAGGTGGTACAAAAAAAGTACCCGAAAGCAGGAACAGGGACAACTTTTACACAGTGGAAAACCAAACAAAGGCGAGTCGAGTTGAGCTGGTACTGTGTAGTGGAAAAGCGCTATAAGAAAAAAGGTTCTGATTGGTGTTGATGAACTGGTACTTTTCTGATGGGACTGAAAGAATCACTGATCAGGCTTTTGAACTGAATCAATATAGTTAAAACCAATAGATGAAACCATTCAAGCCTACAAATCAGATGTCCTGCAGCAAAACCAATGCTTATGTTGCCTTTGGCTTGCTCAGTTGGGGATATTCAAATCATACCATTGATCAGCTCTACCAAACTTGATTGTCTTTTTTTCATGAATAAACAAACACTGTTAAGTTGTCTTGATACTGTGAAGCAGCTTTGATACAATCTGTGTTGTGAAAAGCGTTATATAAATATATTTGACTTGACTTCACTTAAACAGTGTTTAAGATGCAAACAAAGGCTCGACCAATGGTGTGACTGATTGAAAACAAGTCATTATTTTACATTTGGTTGTGCAGAAAGTCTCAAAGAGGCCTTTTGAGACTGCGTTTAGGTAACCTAAACTTTACAATACGTAAATGGTGGCTAATCTTTATTCTTTCCCTCCTCCCCAGTGCCATCATGACGGGCTCCTACAACAACTTCTTTAGGATGTTTGACAGGAACACGCGCAGGGACATCACACTGGAGGCGTCGAGGGAGAACAGTAAACCCCGTGCCATGCTCAAACCCCGCAAGGTCTGCACCGGCGGCAAACGGAAGAAAGACGAAATCAGCGTGGACAGCCTGGACTTCAACAAGAAGATCCTACACACCGCCTGGCACCCGAAAGAGAACGTCATAGCTGTGGCCGCCACCAACAACCTGTATATATTCCAGGACAAACTTAATTAAAAAAGGAGAAAAAAAAAAGAAAGAGTGATTTAAAAACCAAGAAGAAACACAAATCAAGAAAAAAAAGAAACATCCCCTCCTCCCCGTTACCCCCGACGCAGGTCGGCGGACACTCAAGAAATCTCGTACTTTACTTAGTCGTTAAATCTGTTCGAGAAACGTGGCCATCCTGACAAAGAAGGGAAGCCCTTGTTTTTCACATGTAGTCAAGGAAGCTGAGAGACATTTGTATATTTTGGAAAAAGTCAATTATAGAAAAACAAAATAAAAGCAGAGGTGAAGGCCAATTTCACCAATCAGCATCAAGACCAGATCAACTTTTTGCAAAAGTCGTACATGTATTCGTCTTTCGGCTGAGCCTTAAGTTTTTATGATTTGACGACCAAAAGTACGGGAACCGCACCAGGATGAGTAACGTCTCGCTGTCAATCGTATGTACTCGCTGTTCGACTTTGAAATTCAGGCCTTCATGAGCGTTTGTTTCTTGCCTGTTAACATTCCTTCCCCTGGCCCGACTCTCAGGCCTTGCTCTTCTACCTTTTTAAGCACTTAGAACAGGTCTCCAATTTGGTCAGTGGACAGTTTCTTGTTTCTGTTTTCTTTTTTCGTTTTTACTTTTGTTCTGTTTTTATACCTTTCTTTTCTTGTTTTCTCATGCATAATATCTACTCACTGACTGTATCTATATATTACACCCGACGGTGTCAAACCAACCACTTAATAAAAGTAACATAACTACAAAGAGAAAGCGTTTTTACATTATGAGCAGGTATGTATGAATTTTATGTTCTATATTTGCATGTAATCTGCATTATGTAGATCTGGAGCACCAGTGGTTAAAATGTGAAACCTGTATCGGCAGCGTTATTGGGGAATTCAACCCCCCAAAAAACGTAAATGGATTTGTTTTTGGCCTCGACTTTATGATTCACTTGAGATTTAAGACTACGTCAAACCACCAAACGTAATTCCCTGATAATGAGCCGGCTGGGAAGCAAATCTCCATGTTGTACTACTTGAATTTGCAGTTGCACTGTTTGAATGAGGACATTGGCCATAAGCATCAGTATTGCCGTCTGATTTGCTTTAGATTTTGGTATTACAGTTATTTTTCTTTCTCGGTTTTCTTTTGTAAAGGGAATAGGGATTCTACCGCCTTAAGTCTGTCCTAAAATAATCCTCGCCTGATAACCTTGAGGACTAGATGATCTCGACATCATCTTACCTTACCCACAATTTTTCCCACATGGATTGTTTGTCCTTCTAGCACTCCGTTTGTCCGTTCATGTGCTGCTACGGTTCTTGCGGCTTAGTATTTGGACACTAATATACAAGATATCGTACGGTCGGTGACCGGCGTAGAACACTCAAATTGAAACCGATGTGTCGAGTGCCTCTAGAGACAAAACTGGCTTTCCTCCAGTCAATCGAAGTTAAACTGATCACACACCAGTGTCGAGATACTCCGTTGGCTCAATTCCTGCGCAACCTTTGCGCTGAACTTGACCTAAGCGGATTTATCGTGCATCAGGATGTGGTTTAAAAAAAACGGTGACAACAGTTTGCGTGCTGCTGAATTTTGACATGCGGCTGCAAAACTGATGTCAAAATGACAAACGTAAACTTAAAGGTTGACAAGTGCAAAGTTGTTGTATAGCTGATTGTGACGCTCTTGAAATATGGGAACTTAAGGGTCGGTTACGTACTCGGACCTTGTTCCTTGTTAAATGATGATGATGATGATGATAACATTGTGAAAGTGTACACTTGTTTGATTATTTTTGACCAAAGTTAAATAAAATTTTAATTGTGTTTATCTGAATCAACACACTGGCCAACACTTATTTAAATAATTTCAGGTAGCCTTTTTGTCTGCTCAGTGTAAATATGATGTACTGATTCCTATTAAAAAGTGTCTAATGATAACTAAAATCCCTCGAATTCATGTGAACCTATTGGTGGGTAACGTCCCGTTTTCTTGGAAATGTGTCCGGTTATCTTTTAAGTCAAATCAGTTTAATTCACAGATGCGTTGCTTTCTTATTCTCCATTGATGCACATTCATAATTTCCATTTTAAACTATAGGGTGCTGGAGGATAATGCATTAGAGATGTTGTCATTTTGCAAAATTACCAATCTAGAACAGCATTCACTTATTTTGAAATGCTTAGGAGTTTTAGCATGTGTGTATAAACTCCTCTTGAAATATTGAGATACATCAAGAATTTGGTTTACACATATTGTGTCATCACTCGCTCTCAAGTTGTTCCAGACCTGTGAAGTTGAAAATAAAAGGAAGATATTTTGAAGAATGTTGGTAACCAAGCAGTTGCTGGTCCCATTGACTTCCATAGAATAGAGAAGAAGAATAAACAGTGAGGAAGTCTAAAAGGACCAGCAACGTTCTTAAAGGAGTAGTTCACTTTTTTTTTTTTTTTTTTTTTACTTTTGCTGATAATTTACCCTAATGCCATCCAAGATATCTGTCATTCTTTCTTCGGTTTTTGATGAAAACGTTCCCAGATTTTTCTCCATATAATGGACTTCAATGGGAACCAAACAGTTTCAGTTTCATTGCAAACTGTTCACTGTCATTTAAAAAAAAAAAAAAATGAAGTTTGTTTTTATAAGCTCAAATGGTTGCCTTGCTCTGTTCTGTGATGAACGTTCGTGACTCTCCTGTTTGAACTCGTTTATTAAAATAAACAAATCTTTTTTTGTCATTTGGTTCATTCAACAAACAAAATGAATGAATTGACTTCATTTTGATGAACAAGTTCGAACAGGAGAGTCACGAACGCTCATCACAGAACAGAGCAAGGTAACCATTTGAGCTATGAAACTTAAACTTTGTTATTTATTTATTAAATGAGCGATCGTTTCACTTGATAAGACCCTTATTCATTGTCTGGAATCGTTTAAAGCCCTTTGAACAGTTTGCAGTTTGCACTGAAACTGTCTTTTGGACCTTGAACCGTTTGGTTACCAGTAAAGTCCATTATATGGAGAAAAATCCTGCAATGTTTTCATCAAAAACCTTAAAAAAAACCTTGGATGACATGGGGGTGAGTAAATTATCGGCAAAAGTTTTTTGTTTTTTTTTCTAAAAGTGAACTACTCCTTTAAGTAATGAGTAAATAATGACAATTTTTAGGTGAACTATCCCTTTAATTTAACTGTACAAACACAGAATCCAGAAGATCGTGTTGAAGTAATTGTCAGACATTTATTTCTGTTGATTCCCTGTGTTGATACAAAACCACTATGAAATTGACACGTACAGTGAATACGACTACAAAACATGCACAAATTTACACAATTTCCCTTATACTCCTGCCTGATTCATTAACAGTTTTATTTAAGGCAATCTTCGGGCTGGAACCCTGACCATTCAGATAAACAAGTGAAGTGATTGCGATTCAGGTGAGTACTGAGGCAAAATAATTCAACATTAGTAAAATCTCAAGTTAAGCTTGAAGTATATCATACATTTAATTGCGATTTCAATTGACATTCAGATAAGAGTTGATATGGTTCTTAACTTTTGGCTTGTATTTACTAAGGACAGTTGCTGTTGTGTGTGTGTATATACTGTATAATACTGTGCACAGCCTGATTCCCAAAGTAAAGGTCTGTTTTTTTGGTGTCTGGAACATCATACATGCAGAAACGACTTCAAGATACAGCAAAATGGAGCTTTGACAAGGTAAAACAAGTCGCATACTTTGTTATATCATCAAATGTTGAGATTTAGCATTCGATAGATACGATCCCTGTTTTTTAATGGGGTAGAAAGTTAAATCTCCCAATTCACAGTCTTAAGTTTCAGGTACCATCTCTGGAGATCCAGCATCTCATGATCCACTCGTCCTTTCCTCTCTCTCTCTCTCTCATCCCTTGTTTTATGATCCTCTCAATATTCTTAGTAGTCTTGGTACGAGTAAATACGAAATTATGAGGATGCAGAACATCTAATTCTATCAAGCATGTGCCCATAAGTCTAGCGTAGGCTTCCCTGCGCTGACGGCCCTGGAATGGACTTGGCATTACATGTCGATTTGGGAGAGGAATTATGGGAAAGGCCGGTGAAATACACTAGGGGGGAGCGAGACAGAGCGGCTCACAGCCGGGGAGAGGAAATGTGTCACGTGACCTTGCCCTATCTGCATCTACACGAGCACTTATTCACGACAAAGCAGCTGAGATGGTGGATGTGCGTATATGAGATTTGTCTTGTTTCTTGGCTTTTCCTGCTCCCTCAAAATGTGCCAGATGTAGTGATACGCCTTCCGATGTACACCCTAAAAAGAAGAAATGAATACCAGATTGAGTTAGTGGTAAGATTAGGTTATAATTGGTTATGTTGGAATGGGTTATAATAAAAACATGAATTCTAGTGTTCATTTATCATGAAAATGAATCCCAGCTCTTCCAAATTTCTCCTCCAGATTGATTTTTCCGTAAATCAGAGGACTTGTTTTTGCATTGGCAGAGATGTGAGCCTTCAGTGGAAAACTGCTAAGTCATACTAACCCCCTGTAGAGCAAACTAGCATGCATTCCAGCACGCAGACCCCATCCATCCGCGGGACTCAAAAATAGCCCTTTGTGTTACTATAAAATATGGTCTCTGTGGATAAATACAAGGCTTAGAATCCTGCAAAACATTGTGGTTGATTATTGGTAACCATCCACAACTCTCTAAAATATTCAGTTCCCTATATATGGCTCAGTCAGGATCCCCCTTGAATGTAAGGTCAAAGGACTTCTTTATTTTGTTGTGTGACAGGCAAAATTAGTGTGATGTGACTGCTACGGTCAACAGTTTGGAAACGTTAAGGGTTTTTAAAGACGTCTCTTAATCTCACCAAGGCTGCATTTATTTGATCAAATACAGTGAAATATTATTACAATTTAAATTAAATGGTTTCTACGGAAGCGTATTGCATTCACTTGAAGAAAAAAAATCGATTTTTTTCTGAATTAACAAGTTAATTCTCTAAATTATGAAAAAATTGTATCTGTTTTTTCTGAATTAACAAGTTAATTATCTCAGAATTACGAGAGAATTTTTCATGGAAAAAAAGTTTTTGCTCTATTTTTCTGAATTAGAAATTCAGAAAAAATCTCAAATGAAGTGAAAACTTCTTTTTTTTTTTCAAGAAAAATATATCTAATAATTCTGAGAATTAACACGTTAATTCAGAAAAACAGAGCAAAAACTTTTTTCCATGAAAAATTATCTCGTAATGCTGAGAATTAACTCGTTATAATTCAGAAAAACAGAGTATATTTAATTTAAGTGAATGCATTAACGCTTCCGTAGGTTTTGTAATGCAAAGCAGTATTTTCAGCATTATTACTCCAGTTATCAGTGTTGTCGCATGATACTTCAGAAATCATTCTAATGTGAAATCATTCTTTGGTACCTTAATTATTATTATTTTTTTATGTTAAGCAGTTGTGCTGCTTAATATTTTTTGAGGAAACTTTCTTTGATAAATAGAAATTTCAAAAGAACAGAATTTATTATAAATAGAAACTTTTTGTAATATTTATTTGTTTTAATTTTATAAATGTCTTGACTTTATCGATTTAATGTGCCTTAGCTAAATATATATAAATTTGAATGACAGTGTATCAGGATTAAAAAAAAAAAGACTTTTTTTTTAGAGCAGTTAAAACTGTTTTCAACATTGATGATAATAAGACATTTTTTTTTTAATCTTATAATGATTTCATGTGACATTGAAGACTGAAGAAATGTTTGCTGCAAATTCAGCTTTGCATCTAAGGAATAAATTACATTTTAAAATATATCACATCAGAAACTAGTTAATTTAAATTGTAATAATATATCAGTATTAAATACAGCTTTAGTGGTGAGATTAAGAGACATCTTTCAAAAACATTAAAAAACCTTAATAGTATATCAATAATACTGAAATAACACTGAAGGCAGCGTTGTTAATTGTGAACGTTTTATCTAATAAATACATATTATTTTATTCATATACTTACGATTTTTAATAGTTTTGGTTAACATTAACAATACTGCAGCTTAAAAGGTGATTACTAGGGTAACTTTAATGCTAGGGTTCAGGGTTTTGTTTAAATGTACTCACCCGAGACCCACAGCAAGGATGTGCGAAAGGACAAGCGAGGGCAAGAAAACTTTGAGGAATTCTGCTGAGAAGATTCCTCCCTTCTTCATCACACTGGTGTTCCTCATGCTGAGTGTGCTGGAACGCTTCGGGTGCCTCAGCAGAAACTCCCTACAAAGGCAAAATTTAACCTTAGTTTGACCTTACTCTACTGCTTTTACGTTGGCGTATTAACATTATTAATTTGTATGTTTTCTAAAAGTTTAGGTACTTGGGTGGCAAGTTTTCCGGTCGGCTCGACCAGTCCCAGATCCAGTCTGCGTTTTTCTTCATCAGGATCTCCACCTCTCTTCTCCTCTCCAAATAGTCTTCCTCTGACTTAAACCAGACCACAACAGAGTTAGGGGCCGTTCACATTCCGTTTTCCTTTTTACCATAGTTTTTCGATGTAAACACACTACACAATTAAAGGTCTGTAACCTTTGACACAACATTCTAAAAATGTGCCGCTCAAGATAAAAAGTTCAACTTTTAAAGGAGCTGTATGTAAGAAATGTATTTCAAATAATCATAAAATGGCCCTGATATGTCACTAGACATTAAGAAATCATGTTATTTCAAATACTTATCACTGACAACAATAGTCCAGGCAGGAATATTGTCATTTAAAAAGTGAAGTTGCAGCCCTCAACTGATGTTGATGTTGTGTTTTGGTGTGATGTGATCTAGACTACAGTAATAATCTACAGTAATTTTAAAGTGATTGCAGTACCAGTTTTGGCCACAATCTTACATGCGGCTCCTTTAAAAATGTGTCTCTATACCTTCAGGGTTCACATAGCTACTGGCCAATAAATATCCATGAATTGTATTTGACTACTGGGTTTAAAAAAAATAATTTTATAGAAATGGTCCTACTATATTAGGTGTATTTACTATGTACTTGCATTAAAAATGTATGTTGTTTGGAATTGTGTTTTATTGCAAAACACTTGTGTTGCTATTGAGGTGGGAAACAGTTAAGGTTAGGTTTAAGGGTCAACAGTGTAATTATAGAAATTTAAATTAGTTACAGATGAATGTACATCGTATTGCACCAATAACAGGTAATAGTAACACTTTATTGTACATGTAATTACTGTAGCAATAACTATAAATTATGCATAATTACATGCAACTAAACTTAAACCGAACCCCAATAGAGTGCCGAAGTTACGACGTCACTTTGTAGGCCAAAACGCGAAAGTGAGTTAGCATTAGCATTTTAGCACTACCGGTTACCTCGCTCTAAAGTCTATGGGATTTTTGAATGGGTTTTTGCTAAAAGTGAAATAATAATCAATCACCCCTTTAAGTCATGACAAGCTGCTAATATCTACCTGTGAGCTGTTTTTTTCTCCAGAGCTGTGGACCTCGGAGCCCCTGCGCAAGTGTAAAGGAGTCTGGGATCTTGGAGGACTGGTGAGATTCCCAAATTTATATCATTTATTAATATACATTTTTACTATAACATGATTCTCCTATCAAATTAACATCTTGGAATCTTACGGTAATCTAATCTCAGTGCAGTTTATGCACTAAATTAAAATCTGGTCAGACTGACCTATCACATGGCAGGCTTCCTCTTGAGCTGCTCCTGCCCGACTCGTGCTGTGCTTCCAGAAGCATCTTCTCCAGGTCTCCACTCGGGGCGGTGCTGGCAGCCTGCTCCTCCGTTCCTCCTTTAGGACTGCTGCCGCCTCCATTGTTAAAATGCAGCTCCACCCAGGAACCTGCAGGAAAAAGACTAATCATTTCTAGCTCTTTGTTTTTAGTGTTGCATGCAGATTTAGTCACCATGATTTTAAATTTTTTTTAAATTGAATATTGCAGTATTGATTATAAATTATGTATCGATGCAAATCTAATCAAAATCTTCTCCTTCTTGCAGCAACATTTATTCTCTGATGATGTGTTGGCGCATGGGCGGGGGCATCCATCAAACAATCCAATCAATTCCAGAGGTACAAAATTAAGTCTCGGCCAACATTTTTTTTTTTTTTTCTAGTTTGTAAAGCTGTTTCATTCCTATATGTTGACAAAAGGGAAGAAATCGATGTGACAATACGGAAGAAATGACAATCGAAACTTCCATTTCATGCAGATTTTATCTACAGTCCATTTTTTTATCCTCTTTTGGATGTTGTTTTTTGTTTTGTTTTGTTTTTTTGTATTTACTTCTAATGTTGTGCTGTTTTTTTTATGTTTATGTTTTTATATATTAATAGCCTATATGCCATTGTCTTTCAAGAATCAGTGTATTCCAAGCCAGTTATGAATATAAGTGCATCAAGTTCAATTATGTTTTGCAATTCAGTGTTTTGCAAGCATCAAATGTCATAACTAAGTTGTTTTAACCAAATATTTTATTGACAGGAGGATATATTGAAAACTGGGTTGGGCATGAATCAGTGATCGTGACACAGCGACCAGAATATCCAGAAAGCAGAGGACATGCCAGCACTTGAGACTCAACCCAGCAGCCAAAGGAAAACAAACAGAGGTCTAGCTAAAAATAGCTCATGGTATCAGGTCATTTTTTTACACCTCTTTCAAGTGGCCTGCCTCCTTTCTGTGAATCGGTTCGTTCAGACAGATCGTTTCAAGGAACCGTTTAAAATGGTTTTGTGATTCTTTACGTCATCCCGTGATTCCGTCATAATAATAATATAGTATTGTTTATTTTAACTTATTAAAAAAAATCAACATTAAACTATTTAATTTATCCCTGAGTTTTATGTTTTAATTGGATGTGACTAGTCACAACCAACAAGTTGATTAAACTGTCAACGAAATCTTTGACATTTATCATTCAAACATATTTTCATTGTGTACCATTCATACGGTTCGGGTTCTCAGATTGTTAATTCGGCTTTTTGTGATTCAGATATGTTCGAAAGAGGCGGTTTTCCGTTCAGTGAGTCGTCGAGTTCAGTTTAATTACTGAACGGTTCGGTGTAACGGTTCAGTGAAAAGATCCGACTCTAAATGATTCTGCACGAATCGAATATTGTTTCGCTTCCATTTTTATTATTGCAGACCACATGCGTCATTTGTGTATTGTTTAGTTACCCAAACCTCCTGCTTCTTAACACATAATTATTATTCAGTGAAATAGCATAATAATAATAATGACTGGACAGTTATTTAATTTAATGTGAAACCGGAATTTGATGCATAGCACGAAATATTGTCATCTAATTTCGAACCTTACTGCTTTAGACCAATGATAATCCCCACAATTGTGTACATAATATATGAATGGGGTTTTAAGGAGAAACATGCATAAAAGAACATTAACTTGAGCTGTGTTGATAGCTAACGTTACATACCCTGAAGGTTTTCCTCGGGAACGCTTTGTTTCTCATTCGACATTTCAGTTCCAGACTTTACCGACAAAACACACAGCAGAAAGAGGACTCACGTCCGTCTAAATCCTTAATCGAGTCGGTACGATTTAGAAACGCAGTTATCCAAAGGCATTGGTGGTTCCACGCTCGAAACGGTGTTTGTCGACGAGACAAGCTCTGCTTTATATATTCTGCACGTCCAGTATAATAAATTTCATGTGACAGTGGATTGCGATATTTATTCCACGAATCCACACAGCTGGTGGTGACGCAACATGCGGCTGTCCTATGGATGGGAATATAGGGCAAACAGAATGACAACAATACTGGGACACTGGCACGGGGGATGCCAGATTGGGCTAAATCCTTTTCAGAGTTGTTGCCAGGTTGTATAAACCCTCTTCTGGTTCAGGTACCCTACATTTGCAGGCTTCAAAACAATAGTATTCACTTTTTAACGAGGTTTTCTGTTTTTATTTACCAGTTCTTCTAATTTATTTAGGCTACTTATCAGTTTTTAAGCTTAGTTTCAGCGTATCGATATCTTTAGTTTAGTATATAAACAAAACTAAAAAGTATTTTCATTTTACTCTATTATTATTATTTATATTTTATTTAACAGTTTATTTTTGGATGCATTCTTTTTTTGAAATCTTCCCATAAGAGCTCTTAACAGGGGATAGCAATGTGCAATGCTAAGACATGTCTCTTTCAAAATATTGTAAATTTCAAGGTAGCCTACAATCTAATAAATGCTGGCTGTTCCAACCCATATTTGGGTCAAAAATGGACAACCCCAACCGTTGGTTTAAAGCTTCTAAGAGATAGTTCACCCAAAATAATTTAAAGAATGTTGGTAATCAAACATTTGATTGACCTCCATTGAGAAAGAAACTCTTTGAAGAATCCCTTTACTTAGATTTTTTAATTCCAACAGCTGGATTTGTTGATATTTGACCCAATCATAGGTTTGAAACAACCCAACATTTTTTTGTGTGTAGATATAGATCTCCTCTGACTACAACTTTGATACGTTTATGAGAGGTATATTTGGAAAACCTGTCTGCAAACAGTGTTTTTGCAATTCTGTTTGTAATTTCATTGAAATGAAGCACTGCACCTTTAAGATCATTAATATTTTAGCTCTTTGTCGCCATCTGGCTTGAGGATAAATCACTGCACAACACCAGGGATGAAAATGTTGTTCTGCAGTATTATTTAACCCATGCTCAATGATTTCTAGTAGTTTCTAGTATCAACCATATGGATGGGTCAGCACACTGCATGTGAATTCTGAACTAACTAAATAAATGAGAGCCATGCATTGCTTCTTATAGCTTGTTATGCATTTGGTTGTTATTTAATGCATAGGCTGGATGATGACGTGATGTTATTAGACTTAGATGTAGTTGCAGTGCATTGACCATTGGGTGGCTACAATAGCTGTATTTTCCCCTCTCTCTCTCTCTCTCTCTCAGGATAGAAGCCAGACTTCACATCTCGCAGCAGAACTGCCAGATCCTAGTGTGTATGCATGTGCACACGCCTGCGCGTGTGTGTGTGTGTGCTCCGTGTCTATCTCCACTCCTCTTTCACCCTCCTCCCTGCCAGCATCAACCCTCTCTCTCCATCAGGGATGGTGAGGGAGTGTTTATGGTAAGTGCAAGGAATCAAATCTCTCTTGCTTCATGGTCTCTCCTCTAACATGCAATAGCTCATCCTGGTGATCCATCACTACCGGCTGCTGAGGATCCGGCTGTGCGCAGCTCGGTTCTGCTGGGGACTCAAGCATCTTCTGCATGGAATTCAGGGCATGACAACATGCCTCCCTTGTCGTTTCAGAGCATGTGCTGCGAATCGCACGGAATGATGGAGGACCAACAGCTCCCTGGATAAACCCTGCAGACTAAAACAACACCCCCAACCCAAATCATGCACTTAAGGTCAGTCTCAATCTATATGCATTGATTTCCTTTTTTATTCAAGCAGGGTGGCAGCGAACACGCAGACCTGTGTGATTAGCAGATAATGATCCTGATATCGGCCTGCTGGCATGTTTGTCAGGACTGTCAATGTGAGCTACAGAATGGGGAGATGCCTCGCGTGCGGTCGTCTGCACAGTCTGGGATATTTATTGAAATGTTCTCGGAGGGCCATCTGCGATGCAAAGTGGCTCGTTCTGCTTGGCGTCTATTTTCTTCTGATGCCTGGCAGAGAAACACAGCATAGGTTGTGTTTATGATGCAAGCACCCAATGACGTGCTGCTTTTTTTGGAGCATGCAATCGTCAAGCTAAGGGAAAATGAACTCATTGACTTTAGATGTGGAGGGAGAGACTGTTTGGAACAACAAAAAGCAACAAAATGTATGAATGCGCTAACCAATTAAAATTTTAAAGCATTGGTTGCATTGCAAATAAAGAAGACTAAGATTTTGATTAGATGTCACTCTAATAAAAGAGTTGGTCTACAAACAGGTTGCATGTTGTTGATGGATTTATAAAGCTTTTACAGTATGTTTTGATTGAGGATATGGGCTCATTTATGATGATGAATACTTGCTTAATCAATGATTATACTTTTGCCCTTGGTCAGGAGCCTGCATGCTAAATATCCCATAAGAGCAACAACACATTTATCATTCATTTTAGAGCATATTGCATGAGTCTGCTGAGTCACTGTAATTCACTCAGATTAGATGCCACATGTAATCTCTCATCCACAACTTTAAAGGAACAGTTCACTTTTAAAAAATGAAAGATCTGTCATTAAGCTCTCGTAGTGATCATATATGAACCTGTTGTGATCTTTGCAAAGGTTATTGAATTCTCACTAGACCATGGCTGATCTGTATCCAGGATACCGCTTGTGATCATCTGACTGATGGACTTGAGCTGTTCCTCAGACCTGTCAGTAAAACTGCTGTATATATGAAAAGTGCAGTTATCTTACCTAATGATCCATATAATGTATTCAGAGTAACTGAGCAAAGCTAAAGGGTGTCTTTCATCACTTCTTAAGTGAGATAATGTTAGTAGAGTTAGTAATGCCTACTTCAGTACATACTAGCTTTCAGTGTATTCTTGGAAATAACTAGAAAATGTAGCTTATACTGTATATAGAGAGCGGCAGCAGAAAATGAGGTACAGAATTGCACTTATTTTTGTAAAAAAGTATGTGTGTATACTCGGTTTGTTAGTGAACACAACACAGGAGGCTTATCTATAAAACTTTATTTAGGTCTATTTTAAAAAGTTAAGATATAATACAGTTTTGTTGTGTTTTAGCATCAAGTAAGCTTATTAATATTATAGTGTTCTATGAAAACAACAAAAAAACGTTTCTGTTTATACAATATAAACTTAGACATTTTATCTACTGCTCTATAATACTAGAGCCATAAAGTTCAAAAGTGCAAAAAAAATGATCCTGAAGCTCCTCAAGGCAAGCCAAGAGCACCCTGGGAAATCAGTGGATGTGATGGACACACTTGCAAAGTGCATCTCTGATTGCATGTTCAATAAAAATGTGATAAACGGAGGGCTTTCAAAACCAATGAATTCATTAAGTGCTCATATGCATGTAATTATTGTTTTGTAATAGTGAAAGCATTTAAATATTAAGGGGGAATATGTAAGAGTTTCCATGTATTAATCGTTTTTTATTGCCATTGTGTGAACAGCTTGTAATGAAACTTAAAAAACGAGACGTACCCTGCGTGTCTTTATGAAAGCCTGTAGACTTTTGTATGAAGGATTTTTTTTTTTTTTTTTTTTTTTTTTACATTTTTGCCAGGAAAATGATGTTTACTCACACTCCCAACAGCCTCTTTTCCATGACAAGTAATGAATCCGTTTGTTCAGGATAATGCCAAACGAGCCATTCTGTTCTGTTCTGAAAAGGAATTAATTCAAACTATAGTCAAAAATATACAGATCTATATAGTATATATCAGGGGCGTAGAATTTGACGTGTCCCTACCAATATCCAGTGACACTGATATATCCCTAGCTATAATTTCGATCAAAACTTAAAATATATTTATGTGTTGATGTACGTACCTACGCCACTGGTATATTTAGCCCCAATAATGCTGTATAATCAATTTATTATAAGTGTAATTTTAATGGCCTATTTACAGATTCATCTAAACATCAGCAGTGTGTACAGTGTCTGGATATTCGTTAACAGTATATATCACTGCAAAGGTATATATTTCCAATGAAAAAGAACATTGCCTTGACTTTTGGGCCATTGAATCATGTTTAGTCTGTTGTACCTTATGTGTACACAAGCAATAAGTTGATGGCTGCAGTTCACTTAATGGCCTCCGGTGTCGCTAAAAACAAGGGTTTCTGAATTCTACATATAGCCCCTTTAAAGCTTTTCCTTCAATCCAGAGATTTGTCCTTTTCAGATTATCAGTCATGTTCAAAACAGTTTGCATGTTTTTAGATTTTTCTCATCTTTGCTGAAGTGAAGTGATCAGTCAAACATACAGCTGGAACAATGTTTCTGTGGGGATGTGGATTTAGGATTTGTCAAAGTATTAAATATTTACAATACTTGTAAGCAGAGAAAAACTTCTGGTTACTCTTTCCAGAATTGGAATCTTTTTCATATAAAGCTGTTGGTTTTTCATAGCTCAATAGACAGATACACTTTTCCTCATATGTTTCGCCATGGCAAAATTGAAAGACACGACTCAATTGATGACACACAGTAAGAGTGTAGAGTGAAATGAATGCAGGTAGGAGCACAGATATTTAGTTTAGTTATATTAGAAATGTTTGAGTGAACATTGAGATCTTTGAATTTCGATTTCAGACTTATTGGCAAATTTGAGTAAAGTTTGAGACATTGAGATGTCTCCTGAAACTATAGAGAAGATGTGAGATTACTTGGGTCTTTCTCTAGAAAAATAAAAATAGAGAATCTTCATTGCTCTTCTTAATATAATTTCTGTCACTCAAGATGTGATCTGAGACCATTTATTGATTAATATGAAGTCAGGTAGTCCCTAATTGTCGTCTTTGCTAATAAAGAGTTAAACTTTAAAAAAAAGAATAAATTCCAATTAGTAAAGTTTATTTCGAAGTAATTTTAAATAATTTCGTTAACCCAACAGTTGACGGTAGCCATTGACTTCCATAGTATTTTTTTTTTTTCTTTTCCTGCTATGGAAGTCAATGGCTATCGTAAACTGTTGGGTTACCGAAATTCTTCAAAATATGGAGGATATATGTGTCAGAATTTACAACACTCATAAAAGAGTAGGCCAAAAGTAAATTGCATTCTTCTTTAAAACTTTTCATGAGCTTGCTGATTTTCTTTTAGTGTAATACTGTGATTGTTCTAGGTCCCGGTGACCTCTGTAAATACTTGTTTCTTTGTGAACTGCAGGTGGGTGGAAACATGTAGCTGAGGAACAAACAGAAGCCAATCTTGACCGTTCACAAACTCAGGTCATCCCTGAAAGGGGCGTGGCCTGTGGAGTACAGCCCAATATGTCCAAGAAAGCCCCCGGTGGGCGGGGCAAAGGGGAGCGGCCTGACGCCATGGCAGCACTGCAGGCAGCCAATGAGGAGCTGAGGGCCAAACTCATGGAAATCCAAATTGAACTGCAGCACGAGAAAACCAAGGTTAGATTCTCCTCTTTATTTACTGTATAGTTTGTTGCGGAAAGCATGCAAGTGTTTTGACTCCATTTCAGATGTATTATTTGGTTTCTATGTTGTTTGACAGTATAAAATATGGCTTCTCATCTGCTGCATGTGATGTGTTTAATACTGACCTCATTTCCTTCCATATTTGAAAAATGTATTTTCTCTGCTGGTCGTCTTTTGTTGTCACGTCAACCATTTCTGTCACTACAATTGCCTTTTAATTCTTGTTCTGTGTTATATGGGTGGGTGGAATCAGAGTCGTTTCTTCATGGTGCCTTAAAAAAAAATGCATTAATTAAATTAATTTATGATGTCACTAAATATTTCTATTTCAAATAAATGCTTTTCATTTGTGCTTTCTATACATCAAAGAATTTATTGTGTGTAACTTGTGTGTGTATAGAATGTGTTTTTTTTTTCCACACAAAAAAATGTCAAAAATAAGCAGCAGAGCTGTTCAATTCATGCAACATTTACAAATATTACATTTTACAATATATTACAATAGAAAATGCTTATTTTAAATGGTAATAATATCTCAATAATACTAATTATACAGTACTAATACTGTTTTTATTAATGAAATAAATGTTTAGTGAGCACAAGAGATTTCTTTCAAAAACATTTAATTAACATAAAAACATCACACACCTGCAGATAATAGGTGCGTAGGAAAAAACGACCAAAAAAGATCGAAGAATTTAAAAAAAAAATGAAAGTTATGATCGTTTTCAAAAACACTTCTTACCGACCCCAAACCTTCGAACTGTAGTGTGTCTTAGGAACGAGTGAAAACCTGTTTTATTTATAACATTAAAGGCCCTTGCACACTGAGTCCGAAATTCGCGTCCGAAATTTTTGCATGTTAAAAAATAAATTCGACCTCAAAACTTTCGTCCGTCATAAAAAAAAATCGGATCGGGTTTGATTTTCTTCATTTTTTGCATCCGTAGCAAGCAGTTTGAATGGTGTTGTGGCAATCACACTCAGTGTGCAAGGGCCTTTAGTCTTGTAATAAGGTCATAATAATAATTAAGCATTCATTTGATTTAAAGCCTAAAAATGAAAACTGTCATTCTGGCTAAATATATTAATATGTAAATGTGATGTATAATTTCTCACCCCTATCCTGCGCATACAGTATGTGTCTTTCCGGGGGTCCGCTCATTGTGTGTCTCCGCATACCGCAGTGGCTGTCCGTGATCAATACACACATCTCAGGGTGAAAAGAAATGACAGAGGTTCTGCAGGAAAGCACACCAGAAAGTGCCGATCGCCACCGACAACGTTTCCTTATACTGTCCATTCAAATATCACAGAGGATATTAGTGTATAGCCTTTCTTGTTGACCCTTTCATCATCTGAATCCAGTGAAGCAGTCATAAAGGACACCATTATTACTGTAATACATCATCATAACGTCAGCCACATTATAGTAATGCTACCATTAACAAAATGTCAGGCTAATTTTAATAAGCGCTATCAGACAATGTATAGTGGATACAATAATGAGGTTCAGTTATCTTACAGCGGTTACTCTGTGTGTGTGTGTGTGTGTGTGTGTGTGTGTGTGTGCACCTTTAATCTGTACTTACTGATGCAGTACAGTCATTGATTTAAAAGCAAAGTGGAAATGATCTGGAATTTTTTTCTTTCTGTGCACGTCCTTCAGCAATATTTTATATTTTAATATTCTGCCCCTTGTCCTGCAGGACTGGGAAACACTCTAACAGGCCAATTACTGCCGGTGCCGAAAGTCAAACACACTGCTATACCTTGTTTTCTGGAAAATTGCTTTTCTGATTTGCAGGAACATGAAATGCAATGTTCAGGAATGATTCAAGGCATCAGGATTGTGGATATATTGATTGATTCATTACATTGAGATATATCAAGAGTGTTCTGTGTTTCAATGTCGAGACCTGCAGGGAAATAAACTGAGACGGGCTACTTTTTATCAGATAGCCAAAAGTGAATCTTGAGTCGTGCTTGTGAAGGACTGATGTCTCTGAGAATCATGTTAGAGTAACAGAGACCCTGGAGAGAAAGAGGAAATCATTTGAAAGAGAGTTCACCCATAAAGGAAATTGCTATTATTTACTCTCCTTCATGTTGAATCAAACGCTTTCTTGTTTCCGCAGAACACAAACTGAGGGTTTGATATTGTTTTGTTGGTACTTTTCCATGGAATTACAATAAATGGGAACTAAAGTCCTCAAGATTCAAAAAGATTTTTCATGTCAGATTTGTGAACAAATTCTTTTGAGATATTTTCCGAAATTTTTATTGAATCAGTTAACCTCATGAATGATTCATGCGTGAATCAGAATGAGTCAACTCAGTGACTCATTGACTAATTCTTTTTTTAATTTTTATTAATAACACTTTTTAGAACATGGTCTCTTTCTCACTCCAAACTTCAAAGCTTGGAATATTTAGGACACACTTAATAGAGTAATTTTATTGGACTTTTTTTTTGTCTTTTTATGAAACTAAAATGTTGTCCTCATTCATTATTATTGTATAGAAAAGATGAACCGGTAATCTTCAGAATTTTGTTTGTGATCGACCGAATGACATCTTGGAGTAACAATGAATTTTCATTTATGGGTGAATATCCCGATTATTTAGCATTATGTATACAGTTTTAAAAGAGTATTTAGTTTTTAGTCAGATTTTGAATATTTGAATTTGAATTATATTTTCAGGGTTTTTTTATAATTTAGTTTCAGTTTTAGTAATTTGGTAATGTTCATTTGTCAGTTTTGTAGTTATACAATATATATGTTACCATTTCGAAATATAATTTTATTTTAATTTTAAATAGTTTTAAATTTTAAATAGTAGTTTAAGTAACTTAAACTTGTTTCAGTTATTTACCAAAGCAACATTTTTAATTTTCATTTAGTTTATATATATATAAACATCTTTTTCAGCTTTATTTCAATTGAGAAAAAATGTTTGTAATAGTTTTTTAGTTAACGCTGCTATCCCTTTAAGAGGCTGTATGCTGTAAGTGCCCTTATATAATTGCCACACTGCACATTAAGCACAAAACAGTCTCTTATAGTTACAGCAGATTATCTGTGAGCGTGCAGGCAGCTTTTCAGGCATACACACACACACGCGTGAAAATGAATATGTTCTGTTGTTGAGTGCAGTGACAGCACACCCCTGTGTGAGACTGTCAGGAGCGACTCGTAGATGTGCTGTCAGACTGCTTGCATCAATGCAGCTTTTGTGATGGGCTTCCTTAGACTGACAGTAAGAGCCGTCTCTGCTGATGTTAGGCCTGAATGAACAATACTCGTCATGTATGATGGAAATAAATGGTGCTGGTGTCTCACACAGCATGTCTCCAACTGTATAGTCCTAAGTTTGTGCTACTGCAGAAAGGAGAGAGGTTTGATTGGTGGGTTTGAGCTGTGGAATGTTATTATGAATGTGATTTATGCCTTTTTTTGTGTGAAGTCCACTTATAATCTTAGTCAAACTTCATGTCTGTTTTCCTGACCTTTAGAATTAGACGATCATATTTAGAATTGGCTTCAGATGATCAATGCAATCAGTCACTGTTCTAATCCCAGAAAAGTGTATCAAAAAGATTCAATGCAAATTAAGTCAGTTATGATTGGTTAACCTTCACAGAGAACAGTGTAGTTTACACTGATGACAATGGTAAATAATGAACAGGTGTTAATATGCAAATGTGGGCGGTCATATGTTAATTAGCTCATTGTTTTGATTTCAATATTAAACAAGCCATTTTTGCTGCTTAGATTTGATAAAATCTCCTTTTTTTGTGGGCTGAGGAAAGAATTGAAGAGTTTACAGATTATCTTTGTTAATTCTTGGTCTGTTTTTCCGTATTTTTTTTTTTCTCTAGTTTCAATCCTATTTCCTGATCGTTGTTTCAGATTAGATCAAAATGTCAAGATCAAGTCTGCCGGGGAACACTTCTACACCTTTAGCTTTGTACACCATTGTTTCTTGTTTCCTCCAAACATCAAAGAATGGCATAAAAGACTTTCCAACCTCGTGCAACCCTGTCACCGCTGACATTTGTGGATCCCTTTTTATTAAGAGTGCAATATCTGTGCGCTTTATACTATAACATTACTTTATTGAAAGGACTGTTCTGGGTTCAGTAATAGTTTTGTTATATTAATTCAATTTTTTTATATTAAACATAATTTTGTTTAATATATATATATATATATATATATATATATATATTAGGGCTGTGCAAAAGTTAATTGCGATTAATCGCATCCAAAATAAAAGTCTGTGTTTACATAATATATTTGTGTGTGCGGTATACAATTATTTTGTATATATAAATACCTATGCATGCATGTATATATTTAAGAATTATTTGCGCTTAAATTCTGTATATATTTATAAATACATAATCTATATTATATAAATATAAACATTTTGTATATGAATAACACATTTTCTTAAATATATACATGCATGTGTGTGTATTTATATATACAACATAATTATATACAGCACACACAAATATATTATGTAAACACAGACTTTTATTTTGGATGCGATTAATCGCAATTCATTTTTGCACAGCCCTAATATATATATATATATATATATGGTATAAATATATTCATTTTAGTTTAGTTCATTTACTCACGGCAATTTGTGCGAATTTTCTAAGGTGGCTAATTCGTTACAATGTGTACGACCTCACTCGTGCAAATTAGCTTTATTTTTGCTTAATCGTATGAGTTGCCCAACTCGTACGAATGACATACCACCTGCTCCTAAACCTACCCATCACGTGAGTTTAGACAAATCAACAAAAGACAAAGAGTGAGGTCATGAGATAGCATTGTAGAAACCATTGGAAAAAAATAACTAAAAGCATTTAAACACACACTTTGTCAGTCAGAATATATATTTAGAAAATATAATTTTCTGTGGTAATCAACACAAAATACTGTCAATAGACACTGAACTGATCTTGACCCCCGGATATTATGTAAGGTTACGGATGGCTGGTTCTTGAGCAGAGGCTAATGGGATATAAGCACTGCTGACTCTTGCTGGACTCTAAACCTCTCCACAGGTTCTCTTACGCTGCATTAAAAAACTCCCTGTAGGCCCAAAATTACTTCTCCTCTGCTGTTTTATTACTCTATACAAACAGGCGAAGTTGTCCAGTGACCGTCTGACCCAGTTTTGGTCTAGACTGGTGTGGTGTCAGCCATATTATAAGATACTGTTTCCATCTGACAGCCAAATATCAGAGTTACTTAGATCTATAAAAGGCTGCAGGCCTACAGGGTGCAGAACAGAGACTTTTACTCTTCCATCAATGTTAAAGACGTTCCTAACCTACTTTTATTCAGTGGTGTTTGCCAAGTCAAGCATCTCTACTGTTGCTTATTGGTTTAGGGAAGTATTCACGTCGTACCACACAAGTTGTGCTAAAGACATGAATAATACCCCAAATCATGTGTCTTGTGGAGTAAAGGTGATCAAAATGGTCAGATTTACTATTATAGTCGTGTAGAACGATAAAAAGAGCAAATTAATTGTTATTATGAAACTTGGATATGCCTAATAATCCCTTTCTTCTGTAAATATTAGGGCTGTCAAACGATTAATCGCATCCAAAATAAAAGTTTGTGTTTACATAATATATGTGGGTGCACTGTGTATAATTATTTTGCATATATAAATACAAACACATGCATGTAAGAAAATATTTTTGTATTTATATATAAAATATTTATTTATTTTATAATTAAATTATGTATAAATCTATACATGAAAATATACAAACATATATATATAAATAAAGTGCACCCACATATATTATGTAAACACAAACTTTTATTTTGGATGTGATTAATCGTTTGACAGCCCTAGTAAATATCTAGTCAACTATCTTTTTTGCTTGCTAACTGAAATCCTTTACTTTTTTTAGCATTTTAGAATTAATTGTATGAACATAAGTCAAATCGGCTACATAAAGACATGCTTGTCACAGTTGTTTTGCAGCAGATATGATATTGAATTGTGTGATGTAGGATCAATTCTTTCCATAATAGCTTCTTGTTACTCCATATGTGTTTCATAAAAGGGTTTATTCTGGTTACATTTGGGGTGTTTTTAGTTTCCTCCTCCAGTGTTGTCTTTTATGTTTTGTGGCTGAATTTTAAGATGGTATCTGTTTGTTATGTTACCAGTGTTGTTGTGCCCGTGGCAGCATGTGTCAGATTGTGTCAGAACAGAGAGGACGTGTCCTGATGTGACCCTGTTGTGGGGTCGTGTCCTGACACACTAACTCTCTTATTTTTAGGGCACGCTCAATATTGTGCACTGAATCATGGAACATTGCCCACAGCTGTGCAGCGTTGCTTTGCATAAACAACCTTAATATTCATTATACGTTACACTACACTTAATTAATGAAAACATCCCTTCAGCTTTAAATAGCATTAATTATTTACTAATCTATCTCATTTATTTATTTATTTATTTATTTGTGTATGCATATATTTTTTCTTTAAATTTTTTGTATTTTACATATTTTTATGCACATATATGATGCCACCATCCGATTTATTGCCCATTAAATACTTGCTTTGTTTGATCCCTTCAGTTTGTTAAATCTGAGGTAACATCTCTTTCTCAGGTCAGTAAGCTGGAAAGGGAGAAGTCTCAGGAGGTCCGTCATGAGCAGCACAAAACCACGGTGGTTGTGACCGAGTTAAAAGCCAAACTTCACGAAGAGAAACTTCGGGATCTGCACGCCGTTCGGGAAACGCTCCTACGTCAGCACGAGTCTGAACTGGTACGGGTCATTAAGATCAAAGACGGAGAGATTCAGAGGCTCCAGGCGCTCGTCGGTGCACTCCGAGATGGATCCACCGAAAAGGTACAGTGCATTTTGCATATTCATTTGATTGCAGTGTCAAATTTATACTAAATGATCACAATACTATAAAAATTTATGCTAGAGCAGTGGTTCCCAACCTTTTTTTGTCTGAGACCCCCTTTTTCCCAAGAAAATATTTTAGGTCCCCCTTTCGCATTTAATGATATTATATCGCTCTTGTAAGCTTGCTGCAAGGATGACAATATGTTTTTTTTTTTTTTTTTTTTTTAACAAACGGTATGTTTATGCTCAAATAATAGCATATAATATTGAAAATACAGCAGGGGATATTAAAGATAACATTAACAAACATAAACAACTTCTGACCTGTACCACCTGACTGCTGCAGATTCATTTCGGCGTTGATAGTCTTGCCATTGAAATGCAGAAATTCAAGTCACGAACCTCCCCGAGTGTAGCGTCAGGGGTTTTATATATCTTGCGAATTAAAGTAGTTATGATGTTAATGGAGCATAAGCTGGTTGTTTTGGGTCATGAGGAACTGTAAAAGGTCCTCAGTGACTGTCTATAGCATGAAACGTATCTGACCGAATGCAATGATTGGACAAACATTTAATGGTTCTAAGCCTTCTGACGATATACATAAAAATACATTCACACCACTTATCATCAGGATGTGAAGAGACTTTCAACCAGCATCACAAAAAACCCTGCCTTCAAAGAACTGATAACAGAGTGTGAAAAAAAATAGTTCATATGGAATATAACTCCCATGTGGTTTCTCTGGCGCTGCAGGTGAAGTCTGCTCTGATGACGGAGGCCCGCGAGGAGACCAGGAGGAGTTTCGAAGTGGAGCGCATGCGAATGCAGCAGGAGATCTCTGAGCTGAAGGGGGTGAAAAGGCAAATGGAGGAGGCATTAAGCATGGCCGTGCAAGCGGACAAAATCAAAGCCGCCGAGATCCGCAGCGTCTACCATCTCCACCAGGAGGAAATCAACCGCATCAACAGAGAGTGTGAAAGAGAGATCCGCAGGCTGGTGCGTAAAACTGATTCAATGCACTAGTAATCAATGTGTTAATCTGTCAGTAAATGTCTGAAAACATACCTTTGAGTGAATACTAGCTCTTAAAGTTCCTGTGGATTTAAAGCTCTGAGCGTTCAGGTTGAGCAGAACACTTCCTCCACGGGGACTGTCCATGCAATTTATGTGCTGAATGAAAATCTTTTGTTAACTGGCAGGGGTTTACATGGGAAAAGCGCATATGTGTTTCCATGGGAACTTTTCTGTGCGTTAGGAACTGGAATCAATCTTATTATTTAGTCATTTAATTTAAAGCAAGAAATTATCCAGGAATTATGCATTTGTTTATTTAGCAATAATTCACATATTGATTACTATGTCAGCTTTTTTTTGCCACGGAATAAAAGTTTAAAAGATAATTTGCGACCTTTTTCTCACAATTCGGACTTTTTTTCCTAACAATTGCGATTTATAAAGGCAGAATTGAAAAAAAAAAAAAAAAAAATGTCAGAATTGCAAGTTGTAAAGTCAGAATTGCGGGATATAAACTTCCTTTCTCGTACTTTCTGATCAAGTTTACATCTTGCAATTGGACAAAGTCTGAATTGTGAGATGAAAAAGTCACAATTATCTTTTTTATTTTTATTCTGTGGCAGAAACAAGCTTCCACAGATTACAACACACTTCTGTGAGAATTAAAATTTGGTAAAATACCGTACAGTTCCATTTAAATTCTTTGCTAAGCCCCGCCCCCTTTGGTCACTGTTGCTCACATAGACAAGCTTTACAAACCGTTACATAGCCTGACTGGAGAGTTAAAATGCAAAGCATGATTTTAAGTGAAATGTGCTCATAAAATTGTTTGGATGTGGGGTGGAATGAATACTGACATTGACACGTTTTATCTAAAATGAATTGTTGTCTTATGAAGTCATTTAATTTTATTACAGCAAACTCTGCGAATCAGTTTGCAACAGATACTAATGTAGTATCTGTCAGTAATGTTTTAAAAGGCGGGCCTTAGTGAAGGTTTCGCTCCAGATCCTCTACTAAAGCTTCAAGGTTCTATATCAGTAGGTTCACATTTTATTTTTAGCCAAATGTGTGTGTGTGTATCTCAAAACGGCAGTGTGTGTCTGTGATGCTGCTTTCTTCCCTTCTCTCTCGTTCTGGGCTTTTTGCCATCCGTTTTTTCCTGGAGTATGAGAATATCACTGCAGTCCTGCTGGCATCGATCGCTCTCGTGTGGCTGAGCATTCGGCAATATATTGCTTTAGGACTTAAAACAGGCTGGAGTGAGGTCTCTCAATGTTCATGAGTGATGAAAAAGATACAGGAAGCTTCACTCTCTTGTGAAAAGCATTTATTTTTAGCACTATGCATTGTCACAGTAGATCTGCATGGCAGTTATTCATGTGAGAGCAACAAAGCATTAAGTAATTTATTCACTTATTTCTACATCAAGTGTTACATAATGTGAAGCTTTTTTTGTTATGAATATTACATACAGTATACATACACAGTATTTAGTATATAGTTTTGGTGATAATGCTCACCCCATGAACATTCATGTCTGCCTGTCCGTTATCTTAATCCATTATGTAACTCATTGCTCAATTAACTCGTATTGAATAAGCGTTACTGATGTGTATCTGGTGGGTTGTGAATGCAGGAGGTCCGAATGCGATTAGGGGCCTGTTTCGTTGTTATGTGTTGACTGATATTGATCTTTGGATTATTTATTTTATCAGAAGGCCGGTTGGGAATGTAATAGCGTTTAGCAAGCAGGGTGGCAGGGCATGCCAAGGTGAACCGTGTGTGTGTGTGTGTGTGTGTGTTCGCATGTTTGCTGATACAATCCACGACTCTCCTTTGTGGGACAGGTCACTAAAACAAAGCCAGCCTATCATTAGTGATTCTTGCTGAGACCAGCACTGTTTATTTTACGGACCCGCAATCCACCTAGCAACTGCCCAGAGTGCCCTAGCAACCTCACAACAATACAGGGATGAAAAAGAGAACCTGATGTCAGAAAAAAATGAGCCAGGAGTCAGTCGATTTTAAATAATGAAATGGTTGTAAGATGAATCACACAATATATTTTGAATCACACAATAACACCAGTTGATAGGATGCCAAACCAGTTAAAACCGCTGTAGAAATGAGCTGATGAGAGGGAGAGACACTGTGCCACTTGTGATTTTAGGTGAAAGAGACATTTGGATCCCGGTTAAATTAAATAAAGGGATTTATTGTGGTCTGGGCTGATGTGAAACATCAATCAAGACATTTTTCTCATATTACACAAACGTGGAAGGCCTTGTAAGTGCATTTATATGCATTGTTCGTGCACAGTCTGAGTCTAAGACAAGTGGTGTGAGAAGTGAAGAACACCGTGAATACTGAAATTGTTGGGAGGCCAGCGGATGTAATTCACAGGGGAGTGTTGGACATGGAGTAGTTTTAAGTTTATGTATGTATGCATGTTTCTATGCTATGCATGCATTTATGTATGCAAGAATACAGTATATGCATGCATAATGTATGTATGTTATTTTATTTGTCTTATTATATATTCTATACCCTATCTCTTGACTTTTGACAGTAAGTAGCTACTAGTAACCCCTCATAGCAACATGATAAAACATTCTGAACACATTTGCAGCCACATTGCAATACTGTCAACACAAAACTTTAGCATCATGGCAGTGAATTTTGCATAAGCAAACATCACTCACACTCATAAATTGATTTTAAAAAGGTAAAAATTGTCTTGTCATTGAATATCTATAAAATGTTGTAATCAGTTCCAGTCACCTTGGTTCTCTATTCTTATTTTATACAAGGGTGCATGTTGTTTATGAATTTGATTTGTGAAAATGCGTCACTTGTGTGATCAGATGGATTGGAAACCATAATTCATATTAAGTTGTAATATTAATATTAAGTTATTAAGTTATTATGTATAAATATTAAGTAGAAAATGGCATTTAATAAGTGATATCAATAATTGTTTACTGATAACTGATGTAGAAACTTGGGAATAAGGTGCTCTTTATAGTTCTAATATGTTAAACCTCTGCATGCAGACAGACTGTGAGTTCATTAAGTGTGTACGGGTCTGGATAAATAATGTTGAATCCGTGGATAAGGGGTGTAACAGGATTAGTTTCAGAGGAGACGACGCTGTCTGATCCATGAAAGCAAGACTCGGTCTTCTAAGGCGTAGAGATGTCAATTAAACACAAGCTCAGACGCTCACGAGGGAAGGTGGATTACATATAGCCGTGCCTCGGATATTTCAGGGAGTTTGGCTCAGTCTGGTGTATTGTTTGTGGAAAGGCTTAATTTTATTGCCAGAAATTGTGAGCTACTTCAGGTTTTTAGGTTTACTAGACACAACACAAATGAATGGCAGTTAATTGTGATTTGTTAAGTATGATCTGATCATTAAAAACATATATAAAGGTGTATTCATTAGCGAATTATAACTCATGAATTAATAAAAATAATTATAATGCACTAGAACACCTGTAGCAATGCCCTTTTTGTTTTACCTCCTCATAGCAACAAATATGGATCAAAAAAGGGAATAAAAAAAGGGAATACCTGATGTTAGAAAGTTTGAATAATGAGCCGGGATTAAAAGAATGGAATAGCGGAATGATGCATCACACAAGGCATTTCCTGATTGGTTTGCTACAGTGATGACATCAGCACCAGTATGCCAAACCAGCAGCTATACACTCTCAGAAAAAGGTACAAAAGCTGTTGCTGGGGCTGTACCTTTTCAAAAGGTAAACTTTTTCCATTTTAGGTGCTAATATGGACATTTTAGGTGCTAATGTGTACAGTTTCGGTGCTAATATGGACATTTAGGTGTTAATATGTACATTTTAGGTGCTATTATTTACCTTTTAGGTGCTAAAATGTACCATTAAGGTACCAATATGCACCCTTTAGGTACAAAACTGTACCTTTTGAAAAGGTACAGCCCCAGTGACAGCTTTTGGACCTTTTTTTCTGAGTGCAACTGTTTCCGGAAGTAAAATCTCCATTCATTTTCTCCATTGGGAAAATCTCCACTGTTGCACTCTATGCTGTCAATCAGAATCAGCTGACCAATGAGAATCAATTATTGCAATGCACGTAGAATAGTGACCAGCGTGATGTGTAATATTTGAATGCATATCCATGCTGAGCAAAAAGTTGGTTGGCTTGACATTCAAAGCACGCTCCTGCAAGAACGCTGTTTAAATAAAGGAAATTGAAAAATTAGGACATTTCCACGGAGCAGCAGGGCTCACGGTGTTCACCTCTGGGTTAATCAGCGCTCCGGCATCCCTCGCGGGCATGAGTCCTGCGGTCTGGCCTGGAGCCCGGATACTAAATGTCCATGGCTGATATTCTACCATTAAATTAATTTATCATGCACATGAATTACCAATGAATCAGTGAGGCGTGTGTAATGGCATACATCATAATCAATGTATTCATGAAGCTTAGCTTAAAATTTAGAATGCTAATGTGTCTTATAACGTGTATTTATGCTGAATAAGTGACTTCCTCTAGCTGCAGGGATGACGTAATATATCCCACCGCACCATTATATAATGCATATAAACAGACACACACTGAGATTTCCTACGAGATGCGCTGATCACTGGCAACGTCTACGCTGGGCGTGCCTGACAAACAGTCATTCTCGCACCAAGAAGATAGAAAGGGAGATATAAAAAAATAGAGATATACTTTCATTCACTAATAATTTCTCCTCTTCAGTAGGTTGAAGAATAGCACACACAGTGTTTCTACAGAGATTTGTATAGGAATGTAAAGGCTAGACCGGAGCTAGTTGTCACACGGAGAAGTTGTCACCAATGTAAAAAATATATATTTTTGCTGTTGCTTCATCATTGCTTTACTGATTGCATTTAGCTGAAAATATGCTAAAAAGAATGTCTTAAAAATGGTTAAGAAGCTTCTTCTGCTCACCAAGGCTGCATTTATTTTTATAAAATATACAGTAAAATTGTGAAATATTTTTACAATTTTAAATAACTTTTCTATTTTAACATATTGTAAAATGTCATTTATTCCTGTCATGGCAAAGCTGAATTTTCAGGAGCTTAAGTTGTCTTCAGTCACATGATCCTTCTGTGAATATTCAATGCTGTAGATCTTTTATTAACCAAGAATTTTACACTTGTTTCTGTACAGAAGTTGACTTTCAAAAATAAACCTGAGAGATATTTACTGGTAAAAAATTCACACTTTTTACTGTTTATCTGTGAAAGATAATCAGCTAATTTACATTTCCATGCAGTTTTTTTTTTATAAACGGTACATCTGGGATGTATAAATCTTATGCAGTGTTTGATTCGGTGCATAATTAGAGAGGTGTAATGATTATTTTGAGCTGATGAGGTCTAAGGTTTTTTTATGGATTTTGAGAAATAAGATGGATGGATGGATGGATACTGTATATGGATGGATATATGGATGAATGGATATTTGGATGGATGGATATATGGATGAATATAGATAGATAGATAGATAGATAGATAGATAGATAGATAGATAGATAGATAGATAGATAGATAGATAGATAGATAGATAGATAGATAGATAGATAGATAGATAGATAGATAGATAGATACATGGATATTTAAAAAATATAGATTGTTTCAAAGCAGCCTTACAGTGATAAATCGTAAAATAGTGATTTAAAGACGCAAACAGAATTCAAATCTGCTGTTAAGCATCTCTAAAATAAATAGTGTCATTGATCAGCTGTAAGTCAGTTCAGGGTTGAGTTAGTTCAGTTCGATAACAGTGTAAAGTTTATCAATAATGGAACGAGTTCTATTCCGCTATGAAGTAAACAGTGATGATGTCGTCATCCAGTGCAGTTCAGTTCTCATCCAATGGTGTCAGTCAAATTAATAAAATCTCTGAACATTCAGAGGCGTGCCTCATCACTGTACGGGTTTCCATGACGAATGCTGTGCGTGTGTGTTCCGTTCCCTGTCCTGCTGACTGACTCTCTTGTTTTAATGTGCACTCACACACACCCGTGTCCAGTTTCAGGCCGGACGTGTGAGCGTGTGCATATGTGACTGTGCTGTGTTCTGTCCTGTAGATGGATGAGATTAAACTAAAGGAGCGCGCTGTCTGTGGGCTGGAGAGAGAGCTCAACGCTCAGGCGGGCCACACGTGGAAACTACAGCAGCAGAAACAGGCTGTAGACTCTCAGCTGGCCCTGCTGCGAGACTCCAGCCCCAGACGAGAGGGCCCTTTCTCACCCGCTGCAGGAGACACAGCAGAGAGCACGGCTAACCCTGTAAGCACATCTCCATTACTAAACCAACCCACTCACATTCATATTCTCCATAGAGAAACTGATCGGAAGAGAGATAACGTGCATTTCTTTTTTTTAACATCAACATAACATTATTATTTATTTATTTATTTTTTAATTTTTATTAAGGAAGCAATATAAAAAAATGAGTACAAGTAAACAAACATAACAATAAGAGAATAAAAAAACAAACAAATGAACATACAAACAAACAAACAGGATAATAATACAAGAGGAGACAAGTGAGCCAACCTAAACAAATATACAAACAAAATCGACAGATGGCAATACGGATGCATCTATATCTCTCTTACCTACACATATAGACCCATACACGTGCATACATACATATATATACATAGACATATATTCATATATATATATATATATATATATATATATACATACTTGCATACACATACACAAATATATACATACATACCTACATATACACACACATACCCACACACATGCATAAAAAAAATAATAATAAAATAATAACAACAAAACATTATTATTACATTAATCGCATCAAAATAAAAGTTTGTGTTTGCATAATATATGTGGAGCCTATATAACTCTCCTGTTCGAACTCGTTTATCAAAATGAACGAATCTTTTTTCGTGTCATTTGGTTCATTCAACGAACGAAATGAGCTAATTGACTCGGAAAAAGATTTGTTCATTTTGATGAACGAGTTCGAACAGGAGAGTCACACAGACAGAACAGAGCAAGGCGAGCATTTGAGCTTATAAGACTTAAACTTTGTTATTTATTTATTAAATGAGCGATCGTTTCGCATGATAAGACCCTTATTCATCGTCTGGAATAAAGCTTAAAGCCCTTTAAACAGTTTGCAGTTTGCACTGAAACTGTCTTTTGGACCTTGAACCGTTTGGTTACCAGTAAAGTGAATAATTCATTTCTTTTCGACTGAAGAAAGAATGACATGGTTTAAAAGTGAACTACTCCTTTAAGTCTTGATTTAATTTAATATTACCGGTATCCATAAAAAAAATTAAAAAAAAAACGTTAACAAAAGCATGTGTCTTGAATCTGGCTTTGTGCTTATTAGGTTTGAGGTTTACCTTCTTTCCTTGCACACATGATCTAAAAAATATTTACAACAACTTTATTTGGAGTGTCTCCCGCTGCGACTTGAATAAGGGCCAATTTAGTTTTCCATTGATTTTTATACTTTCTCTGCAATCTAACAAAGGAACTAACACTTTTTATAGTGCATTTAAATTAATTTGCAGATGTTATATCCAAAGTGATTTGCTTTATCCAATGCTTTTTTATCTTTTTATCAATATATATATATATATATATATATATATATATATATATTTGGTATTATTCTTGATTTCACAATCTTTCAGCGGTGTGGTGTGTCATGATGTTAACTTTAAAGCATCTGTGTGCCATTTCTCTGACACCAACAAACTGGTGTATCAAAAATGATGACTCTTTTCCAACAAGTTTAAACTCTTCCCGGGTTGTCCATTGTTCAGTCAAATATATAATCATGCACATCTTACAATAGATGTAGCTGTGAGAAGGGGATTTTCACTCTGTCAGCAGTGGATGGATGTGTGATCTTTCCCACATAGCCTATCACCTTCTCAGGGCTGGTCGGAAACTCATGGATGAACACAATCTGCGACGTCACACACTTTTGTATATTCACACCTGGTGTATTGCGTTTTTATCTTGTTTCCCAGCAGCAGAACATCCGTCTCTCTGGCTGTCGGTTTGATATTTTCTCTGCAGGAGAAAAGATGGATTTGATGGGTGACCTTTCAGGTCTTTGTCAGACGTGGTCCAGTGTTCTCTGGCTCAGTTTCCTCCTCCTTCTGTTTCTACGGTTACCAACATAATGGGATATTTTCTTACTACAGCACCAAACAGAATTGACAAAAATGTGGATTATATAGTTAAAAAATGTGCTAAGGGGTATATGAATGTAACAAATAGTGTAATTGTATAAGTGTCACATAAAAATGTCATTCAAAACACATGTTGAACGATTTAAGTTTTTCAATTGGAGTTGCAGTTCTCTTTAACTTGCGTATTTCACTTACTCGCGTGCGTTCTGTATTACGTGTGTTATAGTCTCTGACAGACATGTTGAAGCCGCTCGGGCCTCATCAACGATGACGTAGAAAACATCCGGTTGTGTGTGTTTTCCTCCATGCGCTCGCTGGACATCTGCTTCTCTTAAATACTTCCCTACATTGTGCATGTTATTTTTGATAGACATTGATGTCTTGATTTAAAAACATATGGATATAATGATGTATTTCTTAGCCGGCAAGTATTCAGTGAAGTGATTGTGTCATGTCGATAATTTATCAAAGTTAATAACAAAGTGTTTTTGACGGACTTGATAACGTGAACAATATTTGATTTTTGGGTGTTCGAAATCCTTTTTGCGCAGTTCATTATACTTATTTTATGGAATGAAGTTTATTCCGTGGTGTAATTAAATGACATGTTACTCAGAGACTGACATGATTTTTAAAATGTTACATTCAGGTAGATGACAAATTTGGTGACTTGAAAATCAAGTTGTTGTTTTTTTTAAGTTGTAAAGGAGTTTTGATGCACAAAGTAGTTTTTGTTGTCTCTTATAACAAAAAAAGGTTAATATTCTTCACCATTATTACAAATAAGCAGATTTTGACTCGTATACAGACAGATGGAAAGTATTTCAACATTGAAAAACATTGTTTTTTTCCAGTTACCTGCAGTTGGTTTGTTTTCCAGATACAGCACTTGGATGAGAAGGATGCTCGGCGTTTCCAACTGAAAATTGCAGAACTGAGTGCTATCATCCGCAAACTTGAGGACCGTAACGCACTGCTGTCAGAGGAACGCAATGAACTGGTGAGTCTGTGCTTGTGTGTTAATGTGTTAAATATATATATATATATATATATATATGTTTCCAGACTTTGTCCAGAAAATAAATCAGCCTTCCTAAAAAATAATTATAATTCTAACATAGACCTTAAAAAGCTGCATTGTGCAGAAGTGAAGTGTGTCTGTGCATACAGTAGATGTGTATGTCTTCTGTATGATGTTTACTATGCAGCATTAAAGATGGTCTTTGCCTTTCTAAGTGTTATGTGATGGTGTAAATGTTCTCAGTAATGGTGGTAAGTATCTGAGGCGTGATGGATGACTTCAGTGTTTCCTCCTCTCAGCTCAGACAGGCTTAAAGGTCGATACAGAGACAGTGATTTAAACATGGCAGCGGAAACCTTCAGGAAGGGTTGGGACTCAATTTACCACTCAGTTCAATTCTCAAACATGACATGATGTTCAAGTAGAACGCAATAGTCCAGTCGACTTCTCCAGTAGTCTAGATTTCATGTCTTAAACTAATTTACCAACTTTAGACAGCCGAGTATACGTTTATACAGGTTGTATTTGCATTGTGATTTACTGCCAGTATAGGCTAATCATCATACCAAAACTTCACTTCAAAGTGAACTATCCCTTTAATTGTATTTTCTGAAATCAGTATCTGTGCATACAGAATGATGTCCAAATATTATAGGGTTACTGCATGCTTTTGCCACCCCAACATTTTTGTAACCATGCGTTTATGTCTGTGCTCCCAGTTAAAGCGTCTCCGTGAAGCTGAGAGCCAGTATAAGCCGTTACTGGACAAGAACAAACGTCTCAGCCACAAAAATGAGGAACTGGCTCATGTATTGAGACGCATGGAGAACAAACTGCATTTCGTCACTCAGGAGAACATTGAAATGGTAATGAAGCAGAAAACAACTGTGAGCATACATTTATTTTTACAGAATTGATTAAATGTTTATTATTATTATTATTATTATATAAAATTTAAATATTACATGGTGAGAAATCAAATGGTGACCAATTGTAGTGCTTACAAATATTGATGTTGATAAAAAAAGGAGAAAACAAAAGATAATTGATAATATACTCTACCTTTTCAAGTTTTTATTGTTTTTAAAAGAACGGTCTTATGCTCAAAAATAAGTAAAAACAGTTTATTACTATTTAAAAATGTTTTCTCCTTTTTAATATTTTTCACTATATAATTTATTCCTATAGTTCAAAGCTGAATTTTCAGCATCAATACTCTTTTGTCTTCAGTGTCACATGATCCTTCAGAAATCATTAATATGCTGATTTGCTGATTAACAGTTAATATTATCATCAATGCTGAAAATAATTTGAAATGCAAATTTTGTAACATTCTAAATCTTTACTGGGACTTTTGATTATAGTTTAATTCATCCTTGCTGAATTAAAGTACTAATTTCTAACTGACAGACTTCTCTTCTCTATTTAGTTTCTGCAAATGAACAAATCAAAATTATTCCTGCTGGAAATCTAGTTATCTTAGAAAGTATACACTTTCCCTGATGGTGATGGGAAGGCTGTGGTCAATTTATAAATCCCACAACTGCTCCACTGTCATTAGACATAATCGGCTATATTTCCAGCTTCGACTATAATTTTTTTTTTCATAGACAAAGAAACATTCATCTTGCCTATTCAACTGCATAACCCATAAATGTGTTGTTTTATCAGGTGAAGATCACACCAACTGCATAAAACATGTGCTGTGATTCCTGATGCCTCTTTAATATGGCCTTGTTTTCATGTAAACACATTTATCGGTCGAGCTGTTCAGCATCCAGCAAGCACACAACCTTATTATTACTCATGTCTAAATGATCTAATCATTATGACATGAGTAATTATCTGTCAGCGGTCTCTGTGCACACATCCGGTCTCTTGATGTGAGGAATGAGTTTTTATTTTTGCAGCGAGAGAAGGCTGGGACGATACGACGGCCCAGTTCTCTGAACGATCTGGATCTGAGTCAAGACGAGAGAGAGATTGAGTTTCTGAGACTACAAGTGCTGGAACAACAGAACATAATCGACGATCTGTCCAGGGTATCAGCATTTCTTCTCACAGGGACGTACTAACTTTCAACACGAAAAGCCTCAATTAGATTAAGAATTAAAATGTTTAGGGTCTATTTTGAAAAATAAATATTACAAACGGTGTCTTATTGTTTTCTGATTGGCCTATTTTAATTTTTTCCAGGCGCTGGAAACCGCTGGATATGTGAAGAGTGTGATAGTGAGTCATTTTGCCTCTGGGATATATTCACACTGTGAAAAGCTAAAATATGTTTTGCTAATGAATATGTTACCTAACTAAACCTTGATTAAAATATCAGCAGTAGTTTTTTTCATATTATTATTATTATTTTTTCAAAGTGTGAATGAAGTAGCAACTAAAATTACTTAAAATGTAGTATTTACGGATAAAATTAGAATTTTATGGATAAAACTGGAAGTGTAGTGAAACTGTTATTTAATGCACCTTTAAAGACACAGATACTATAGGCTATCTGATGTGAGTTAATGTGTTTTGTTCTCTCATTTAATCTTAATTGAATCTTGTTTCTCAGGAGAGAGACATGCTGCTGAGATACAGAAGACAGGACAGCCTGCGCAGGAAGAAGCCCTTCAGAAGGGTACGCATGCACGTCACTGTCCAACATGCTTGAAAAAAATAAAAATAAAAAATAAAAATATATATATATATATATATATATATATATATTATATATATATATATATATATATATATATATATATATATATATATATGAAAATCAGGCAAAAAAAAATTTAGGGGCTTTTATACTTTTATACTTTTCCATGAATAAAAATCAATTTCCAGTCATCGAAAATGTCTAATACATTATCCAATCTTATTCTTGTATACCATCATTATAAAGACTAAAGTTGCATCACACTTACTTTACATTAATTCTTGGTTATGCATGGTTTGTGTATAATTTTTTCTCTCAAAATGATATTTTATTTTTTATTTGTTTACATTTGAGCAATTCTTGAAGTGATGCACTTTTAATTATGCATTCATTTTTACAAGAATAATTTATGCATATAATGTTTACATAACACATTACAATTTTATATTTTGTTGATTATCATTTAATTATGCATTGATTATAATAATACAGCCTAAATTATTTACTTTTTATGCAATGATGTCATCTTATTAATTTAGCACCACTGCACTAATTACGGCTGGTGATGTTTGATTTCACTCTTTTAAATTATAATAATACGCAACATTACAGATGTGTATGTGTGTGTGTGTGTGTGTGTTTGTGTGTGCATCTGTGTATTTAAACTTTGAGTCAAAAAGGTTTGTTAAACAGAAATCCTCTGTCTCTGTAGCCGGTGGTGGAGACGTTTTTTGGCTATGATGAGGAAGGCTCTATAGACTCGGACGGCTCCTCCATTTCCTACCACACGGACCGAACGCCCTGCACTCCAGACGATGACCTCGAAGAGGTGTGTGTGTGTTTGTGTGAGTGAGTCTGTAGACTCTGGCTGTGAACGTGTCCTCTCCCTGTGTCTATAGGGAATGGTAAAGGAGGAGACGGAGCTGCGTTTCCGTCAGCTGACGATGGAGTATCAGGCTCTTCAGCGCGCTTACGCTCTCTTGCAGGAGCAGGTGGGAGGAACATTTGATGCAGAGAAAGAGCTCAAGGTAAATCATTTCAAATATTTATATATTCATTCTCTTAACAACAACAACAGCATCTCAGCTCTCAGCTGATGGCTGATTAGTTCATCATATGAATAGGATTTTTTGTCGGTGATACACCGTGTCTTAACCAAGCCTGATCTGATCAAGTGTCAAGCTTTAGAAGCTATTTTGACCATGGGTGATGGTAAGTCACCAGGTTTCTAATTAAAAATGTTTTGGTAACACTTTACTTGAAGGGGTGTGCATAAGACTAACATGACACCTTCATAATCATGACATGACATATGTCTTGAATATGAAGTAAGGTTTATGCATGTTTATGACAACTGTCATTAAGTGTATTTCGATCAGTAATGACATTTTGAATGCAAATATGACATTGTTTAAGATGTCTTTATGACACCTTGACATAAACCACACCATCATAACCTGTCAGTGTCTTTGTCATGACAACTTGACTTAAAATTAAGTTAAACTCACTTTGACATTGTCATGAGGCATTATAACTGTGTCATGAATATTTTTCGTGACCTCAACTACAGTGATACTAATTCAATTTGTCATTAAAAAGTTATAATGGCTTCATGACAGCCAATGTCAAAACCATTCACCTGACAGTTTAATGTAATGTTAACCAATAAAGCTAGGTGCTTTCTTAAGTTTGATTAATCTGGTATGTCATGTTTATGACGGGTTGTGTTGTCTAAGTAATGTCAAGTTGTCAAAGACACTGACAGGTTATGATGTATTGGTTTATGTCAAGGTGTCATAACAAAGACATCTTAAACAATGTCATATTTGCATTCAAAATATCATAACTGAGTGAAAGACACTTAATGACAGTTGTCACAAACATGCATAAAACTTCCTTCATATTGATAACATAAAGGAATGTCATGTCATGATTATGAATGCTTCAAGTAAAGTGTTACCAATGTTTTCAACTAAATTAAATGCCTCTAAAAAAATTTGTCACATCATAAATTATTTTCAATCAGAAATATCCCAAAGTAAAATGGGTTGCTTTTTCTTCTTACAAATATGCAAAAAACTATTTATGACAATGATCAATTCTATTCAAAGACGGAGATGATGCTCATCCTGAGCTACTGCAGATCGATTTTACCTTCCCATCAGTGTCTCTATTCTTTGTTATCTGTTTTAGACTCGAGAGCAGCTTCAGGCCGAAATGTTGCGGTACCAGACCAGAATAGCAGATCTGGAGTGTGTTCTGAGTCACCAGGGACAGGTAAAACACCAGCGCTGCCAACCAATCCATGTTAGAATTGTCTTTCAAATGCAACATGTCATTTAGCACAGTTGTATTTGTACAGTTCCTCTCATAGACTGTAAAAAAAGATGGACGACACATCTCCACTTCCTTCCACTGTAGAAAAAGGAAGTCAAAATATCGCAGAAACGGTCTTTGCCGATGACATTGACATAAAAAATTATTTGAAGTGTGATTTGGCTTTGCATCCCATTAGATAACATGTAGAGGGTGGGGTTCGTGAACCAGCCACCAGGGGGCGATCCATTTTTTTGCCTTCACTTTTCAGGATGTTTGCAGCACACTTTGGTCCACACTTTTTTTTCACATGTGCACACTTAGTTTGGAGATGTTCCCGTTTGGTTGAGTGTGGGAACATCAAAGAATATAATACACAACCCTAAGGAAATGTGTTTCTATAATCAGACATGAAAAAATATGTTTTGCGGAGCCATTTCAACTCCATGCTTAATTTTTCTGAGGGCCATTTATAGTCTTAGTCAAAGTGTAACACGCACACACACATGATGGCAACCTAAAATTATTCCCTAAACGTAGAGAATGTGAAAGCTGATTAGAAAGCAGTGCTGGTCGTACATCAGTGTGGGCTGTGAGCGTTACGCACGCGGCTGAAATTGCTCTGGGGTCAGAGATGCCACTGATGGAGAATAATTCTGGGAGAGAGTTTGAGAGGATTTTCCACGATACGATCTGCTAGCATCAGTTTATTTAAATTATTTGCATTCAAATTATGTGCATTTTTCAGGACATGAAGTGGATTGAAGAGAAACAAGCTTTGTACCAACGCAACCAAGAGCTTGTAGAAAAGGTGGGAGCAGTTTCTGTTTGTCAGACCAATGGAAGATGAACATCACAAGCAGAGCATGTTTTCAATTGAAGTAAATCTCAGTCATTTGTTTAAAATGTTTCTATTAATAACGCCATTTAACCCTAAAACCGTATTCTGGACAAATGTGGGCAAAATAGTTTTGATTTATTTTAAAAAAATACTTCCCTTGCTCTGAGCGGTACAAGACTTGGCTACTTTTCCTAAGTTTGCCTCTTGAACACACACATTTTTTTTTTTTTTACTCAATTTTACAATGTTAAGTGGGTGAAAAAAAAAAACTCAAAAATGGGCACCCATAGAAATGAATGGGAAAAACTGTAATTTAGAGCATTCTAAAATAAGCCAAAATAAGACGCCAGGTGACCGCAAAGTCACTTCATCTTTAGTTTTAGCTCTAAGAACTTATCGAAATGATATTTTAATGTAGTTAAAAAAATAAAACTACATAGTAATTCATTTACATAGAAATGATTTACATAGAAAATATGGTACTTTTTGAAGTAAATAAATTCAAAAATAGCCCCAAAATAAAAAAAAACCCATAAATGGATAGATAAAACATTATCGAAGACAGTGATATAACATTTATAATAAATAAAAATTAGGATCACACCTGAGTCCTCTGTGCCCACTTTTGTCCACAATTACAGGATTAAGTAAATAAATAAAGTAAATACGGTTTGAGGGTTAAAAGGACAGTTCACCCAAATGTGAAAATTCTGCATTTATAGCTGTGTTTATAAACTGCTTGCTGTATAAATGATGAATTAACTGTTTACTCATGCTTAACAGTTATTATAAAGTGTTGCCAACATATCAACATTGTCATATCCATTACCATACCAAACACTCCAAATATAGTTTTGGAATGACATGAGGTTGGACTATCCCTTTAAGTTTTTAAAGTTTGACCTGTGTGACTTTAGAAAACTTGGTGTAAAGACAAAAAACTGCTGCTTTGTTCAGATTTCAAAGCCAAACCGCCACCAAATTATAGGAATGACCCCAAAATGACCCTCTTTAGTAGTTCAACAGTGGCGTTAATTAATTTCCCGAAGCCGCTTACAGGCTCTGAATGCAGCTCATTTGTTATCCCCCAGTTATTCTGCTTTTTTTTTAAACCAATATTATGTTTTTGGTTTCCAGATTAAAAATATGGAGATGGAGGACACGCGACTGAAAAATGAAATTCAGGATGCGAAAGACCAAAACGAACTCTTGGAGTTCAGAATTCTTGAGCTTGAGGTGAGTCTGACGGAAGATCTGTCTACTGTCGTGTGAATTTCAGACACACATTTAAGAGACTGTATTACAAAAACTTCCTTTCCTTGACTTTTCTATTTCCAAATTAAACTTACCATGGTAATTAAACAGATGAGTAAGGATTCTGAGTTCAGATATTTCTGCAGCCCCAGGAACAGAAGCACAGATTATGTGTAAGAATAACAGTGATGCTCCTTTTTATCCTCCAGGAAAGAGAGAGAAGATCTCCAGCCATAAACTTCCAAAGCATTCATTTTGCCGAGGGCATGAGTCCTCTACAGATCTACTGTGAGGCAGAAGGTGTTACTGTGAGTTACACTGAACAATATGCCTCGTGTCTCTATAGAGAGACCGGGGCTAGTGGTCACACGGGAGTAGAAGGTTTTAATAATGATCGATCAGGTTGGGGCAAGTTGTCACAATGGAGGAAGAAACACAAATTCAACGTTTTTTTTTATTCGTTAATTAAAGTTTATGTTAGCAAAAATTATGATTTATTTTAAGGGGTGTGCATAAGACTGACATGACATTGTCATAAACATGACATAACACCTGTCATGAACATGAAGGAGTCTTTATGAATGTTTATGACTGTTGTCATTAAGTGTCATTCGGTAAATTATGACACTTTTAATGCAAAGTTGACATTGTTTAAAATGTCTTTGTTATGACAACTTGACATTAACCAAGACAGAAATGTGTTTGTTATGACAACTTGACATTAACCAAGAAATCATAACCTGTCACAAATATGTCATAACAGGTCTAATTATTAAACTTAAAGAAGTTATTTAGCTTTGCGTTAACATTACATTACCCTGTCATATGTGGTTGGTTTTGACTTTGGCCATCATGACTCCATTATAACTGTCATGTATATTTTACTTGTCCTCAAGTAAAGTAGAACACATTGTACTAGTTATAAAGATGTCATTAAGGGTTATTACACTGTCAAATGCTTTAACAACAGTGTCATTAATATTTCCCCTTACCTCAAGTAAAGTGGAACACGTTGGACTAGTTATAAAGATGTCAGGTTGACAGGTTATGATTTCTTGGTTAATGTCAAGTTGTCATAACAAAGACATTTTAAACAATGTCAACTTTGCATTAAAAGTGTCATAATTTACCGAATGACACTTAATGACAACAGTCATAAACATTCATAAAGACTCCTTCTTGTTCATGACAGGTGTTATGTCATGTTTATGACACTGTCATGTCAGTCTTATGCACACCCCTTCAAACAAAGTGTTACCTTACTTTTTAATAATTGGTGTACTCATTAAAACTTTAAAAAAAAAAAATTGTTTTTTTTTCCAAGTAAATAGGTTCCCATTGCGACAACTTACCCAATATAGTTGTCGTACTGTTTTACTATTATCTGAAAATCTAGACACTGAAGAAACTATTCAAAGTGCCACAGATAACAACTTGACTAGATTTGAATTCTTTTAAGGTTATTGTTGATGTTCATAGCACATACGGCTGAGAAATCGTTTGTTTTCCACGCTAGTTTTCAGTTTAGTTTTTCAGGTGGAACTGATATCAGACCCAACACCTAACAGACTATCAGTGATCCACATCAGATCTAATCTGCTGGTGTCTGGTGGAGGATTCAAGGCATAATATGTCTCAACGAAACTCTTTCTCACACCACAGGACATTGTGATCACAGAGCTGATGAAGAAACTCGATATTCTGGGGGATAACGCCGTAAGTGTATGTTGATTTCATATGTAAATGTGCGTGTTTACACATGCCTGGGTGTGTCTGCTCCACATGCATTATGTCTGTCACTGATGTCTCGTCTTTTCATTGGATGGCACGCACAGAATCTGACCAATGAGGAGCAGGTGGTGGTTATTCATGCCAGAACTGTATTAACTTTAGCAGAGAAGGTATGATCCGTTCCGTATGTCATCTTTAAAATTATTTTATGTGAATTTTTCCTGTGTTTGTCTTTTAACGTCTCTGTTGTGTCCAGTGGTTAGAGCAAATCGAAGTCACCAAGTCAGGGTTACAGCAGAAAATGTTGGATATTGAAAGTGAAAAGGTAAATGCATTCAGATTCATTACAGTCTTATTTCACCCCCAAAGTAAAAGAAAAACGATAACACTAGATTAGGGTCCTGTTCTCACTATCAACTAGTTGCTTATTAGCATGCATATTACTAGGATTGCTGTTTATGAGTACTTATAAAGCACATATTAATGCTTTACTCTGCATGACCTTATTCTACATCCCTTAACTTAACAATACTAACTATTAAAAAGCAGTATTTACCTGTAGAAGTTTATTGAGGCAAAAGTCATAGTTAATAGTATGAATTGGACCCTAATCTAAAGTGTAACTGAAAAAAATATTATTTAAAAAATAAATTATAATTTTTATAATTATGCACACACACAACATTCCAAACATTTTATTCTTGATTTTTTTATTGATGTTGCTCATTAGATTTTCATTGCATTTAATTACTTTACAGTTTTTATTATTTATTTATTTTAGTATATACAGTATATTTATATAAAATAGTGTACAATATAATGCACAATGCACAATATATTTTTTTATAGTTTTTTTTTATTATTATGTATTTCCCCCTGTTAATTTTTGTTGAATATGACCTTGTGTCCTAGGCATGTTCTTTACAATCTTCCACAATTGTACTCACTTACAGGATGACTTTTGTTAATGCTGTGTTTTATATCAAAATGATTATAACCTCTTGTCATTTTCTTCTGAAGGAGCTCTTTAGCAATCAGAAAGGATACTTAGACGAGGAATTAGACTACAGAAAGCAGTCTTTGGACCATGCACATAAGGTAAGGATTGAGATGGCCAATAATCTTGGTTGATATGGTTAATTCTGGGTGACTGCAGAGGAGTGTTACTCTATCACGAGATGCAGTTGTGTCTTCTTGTGCCCTCTGGTGGCGAGTCCTGCTCATCTTCTGTGTTTCTCTCAGCGTATCCTCGAGCTGGAGGCGATGCTGTTCGACGCTTTGCAGCATGATGAGACGAGCGGTAAGGTGTCCGAGATGCTGACCGAGCAGGACCGTGATTCGCTGAGGGAAGCTGTCGATCAGTGGAAGAGGCAGGTCTTGAGTGAATTACGAGAGCGAGATGCGCAGATACTCAGAGAGAGGATGGAACTGCTACAACATGCTCAAGCGGTACCTGTCTTTGTACATATATAAAAGTGGAAGAGATTGTGCTTATTTTTATAGCAATGCAATGGTAAATATGGATACTGGACATTTTAAATGTGTATATTTAAATAACCATTCATTTTGCATATGCAGACAGCACATTTTCTTTAGTAAATATGAAGCTTCAGTATTTAGTGTTGCCTATTTGTTAGCTTATGATTTTCCTGTCTCAACAGAGGATAAAAGAGCTGGAAGAGTGGATTGAGACACAGAAACGACAGATAAAGGAATTAGAAGAAAAGGTAATCATATATAGACCACTCATCTATCATTTCCTTTCAAGGTCAGCATCATTATCTTTTCCAATAAAATTTGTTGTCTCTTTCTAAATGCACTGTTTATTCTCTCCTCTTTGTTCCGTTGTGTTGTTTTTTGCTTTTGTTTTTGTTTCCGTGTTCAGTTTTTATTTTTATTTTTATTTTTTTCTTTAGCCTTCATTCTTTGGTCGTAGCTCTGCCAGAAAGCAGGAAATCGTGTCATCAGATCAGTGGACCCTGGTAATACATGACTGCTCATACACAACACTAGATAGGACTTACATGCAACAGAAGTTATGTTCTCTATTGTACAGTATATACATATTTCCTCTTTCCTCTTAAACTATATTCAAATAAACAAAATTTCATTTAAATTGCAGTAATATTTTTAAATATTACTGCTTCTACTGTATATTTAATCAAATAAATGCAGCCTTGGTGAGCAAATGAGACTTCTTTCAAAAACATTTAAAAATCTTACTGACCCCAAACTTACAGTATGAACTGTAGTCTTTGGTTTCTAATGTGATGTATGGGTGGACTGATGGATGGACTGATGGATAAGTGAATGGATGGATGGATGGGCGGACGGATGGGCCAATGGATGGACTATTGGATAAGCGGATGGATGGATAAATGGATGGATGGATGGACTGAAGAATGGATCGATGGATGGACTGATGGATAAGTTTGTGGATGGATGGATGGATGGACTAAGAATGGATGGGTGGACGGATGGACTGATGGGTGGAGGGAGGGAGGGAGGGAGGGATGGATGGATGGACGGATGGACGGATGGACTGATGGGTGGAGGGAGGGATGGATGGATGGATGGATGGATGGATGGATGGATGGATGGATGGATGGACGGATGGATGGACGGACTGAAGGATGGGTAAACGTATGGATGGATGGACGGATGGACTGAAGAATGGATGGATGGATGGATGGGCTGATGGATGGGTGAATGGACGGACAGAAGGGAGGGATGGATGGATGGATGGACGGATGGACTGAAGAATGGATGGATGGACGGACGGATGGGTGGATGGACTGATGGATTAGTGGACGGATGGATGGACTGTTGATTGGGTTGACGGATGGATGGACTGAAGAATAGATGAATGGATGGACTGAAGGGATGGACATGGATGGATGGATGAATGGATGGATGGACAGAAGGGATTGACATGGATGGATGGATGGATGGATGGATCGAAGAATGGATGGATGGACTGAAGAATGGATGGATGGACGGACAGACTGACGGTCCGGATAGATGGATGTCTCCAGTTTGTAACTGTAAATGTTGTATTTTTCTTGTGATCACAGGCCTCAAGTGTTCTTCTGTCCCGGAGGAGGAGCGACACACACGTGCCATCAGGGGTCTCAGCGATCTCCTCTGTGCTGATACGAGTCTTCAAGCTGTTCACATCAACTCTGGAACATGGAATATGGTGCTGTCTCTCTTGTGGACTTCTAAACTATTTTTATCCTCCTGACCTTTTGAACTATGCTTTGTGTGAGCTCTTTGCGTGTGGAATTTAAGGACTCTTAAATTGAAGTGCTCTCTCCTTTCCCTGCTGAGCAGGTGGTGCTGGAGGCTGCTTCCCTTTGGAAGCCTGATGGATTGAGAGATGTTACGTTAAAAACCTTCCTCCCACTGTTTACACTCACTCTGCTTGGGTTCCCGGTGGCACTAGCCCTCCCTCCTGAGCTGAAAGTTAAATCCTGAAATTAAAATTATGACTGTTTTTTTAATGTACAGGAGCAGTGTTTCAAATAAATTTCTCAGAGGAAGACTGAAAAACTAAGAGGATGTTTCTCTGTTCATTGAAAATAAATGACCACAGTGGATTCTGAGGTAAATAAGTGCCTCTGAACCGCCTCAAACTCAAGGTAAGCTTGATTTGTGCTTATACTTTTGAATATGGTTAGCTTTAAGTCTTTGTATTGTTTGTTTATATTGTGCGGGAATGGGTGATGATAGTGCACCAGATATACTTTTGTCACATTTGCATAATTCCAAATGATTTTTGCAAATAAGTCACTTATCTAAAATAGGTTAATATTTCAGTATAAAATAATAGTTTATTATATTACTTATGGGATTATATAAATAGATATTCTAAATATATATTATAATATAGAGATTAATATTATAAGAAGTGTTTCTAATAAAGATAGTCAAGTATATTGATTTTCACATTTGCATAATTCCAAAAAAAAAACCCCACACTTTTTACATCTACGGAGGTGCCGTAATGAAAATTATAAATAAAATAGTATTGTTGATTATTATAGTAGTAGGATATTATACTAATTTTGTCAGACAGTATTTCAAAGTTCTTCCTCTAGTTTTTGGTCAAAATATAAATATATAGAAATGCGGATGGTTATTATTTAACCCTCCGCATTTTTAAAACCCTAAACCTAACCCAATGCCGTCAGTGTATGAACGAGTGAGTGTATGAATGAGTGAGTGAATGTGAGGAAATATGTAAAGAGCTTTGGTGGCCATTGGGTCTGTGAAAGCGCTATTTAAATGCAGTCCATTTTCCATTTATATTTGTTGTGTTAATATGAATACAAGTTATAATAATTTACTAAAACATTTATAAAATAGATTTATATAACTAAGTAATATCAATAAACAATTAATAATATTTGTAAATATATATAGTAATGTATTTTGCAAAGTCTCAAGTGTGATGTGTAGAAATGTAAAAAAAGTTTTAAAGCAATAGTTCACAGAATTGAACAGCTGAGCTTGTTGTTTTAGAAGCTAAACTAATAGACATTCATGATTTTATGAAGCTGGTTTTATGTCACTGTCACGCAACTCTGCTGTGGACGAGAGAGATAGTGGTAAAATCGAGGTTTTTGCCTCCGGCTGGTTCTTCCATCTCACTCTATTACATCTGCCACAAGAAATGCCAATGCATTACAATCAAAGAGAAACCCAGGAAGGAAATGCTCTGGAATATGGGCTGTGGCTCACAGATACCCATGAGTCCTTTGTGCTTTCAGAAATAAGGAAATGAGAAGTAGATGTCTTTTACGATCATGGTATTTGAAGCTTCTTTGAAACTCTTCAACTAGAAAACATGCAGGGAAATAAAATTGCCACATAATGTGAATTTAGAAAGAGCTTTTGATATGGAAATAAACAGCATATTTTTTATTCACACATGCACTTTCCTACTAAAACTGGTCATTGATTGATTGTGGCTGTTACTGACAGTGCTTTTATTGTTTTGCAATTGGAATATTACAAAGTTGTTGACAATATGTTTTATGGATCCATTTAGATGTGCACATAAAAAGTGTCGAGATCATCTCCTCGGGTCAGGTATGAATGGAGATGAATCATGGATCTGTTAGATTAGATCAAATGCAAACCCTCTTTCCTCAGGGTATTCTTAGACTTCAGCTATTGTGCTTTTATATGACCCATTCTGTCTGTAAAGTGTTTAACGCATTCACTCCCAGAGGCATTCGGCATATGGACCAGGACTCCTTGTCCTTTGGGCACATCTTCAACCCTCCAGATGGACTTTCCCAGATCTCCACATGCACAGATGAGACCAGACACACTGTAAACGACATCTGCATGCATTTGGCAGAATTAGCATCTGTCTGTTTAACATTTCCTAATGCAACCCATGAGCTGATAGATCACTGATGGAGGATCAGAATAGATAACTAGTTATTAAAACACAATTTTGAAGGCGTTGCCTTTCTGTAAAAAAAAAATTAAAATAATATATATATATATAATAACTTGTTTTATGAATGTTCCATTAATCAAAATATATTAAAAAAAATATTTCTATTGCAAAATGGCAGGCGATTTTTGGATTGATTGATTGATTTTAGCATTTTAAATATGCACTTTCCACACTCGTTTTAACCCAAATTTGGGTAAATATGGACAAACCCAAATGTTTCGTTACAAATGTCATTTAAACTTTTAACCCAATGGCTGAGTTTGTCCATATTTGACCCAAAGATGGTTAAAACAACCCCGCATTTTTAGAGTGTATACATTCATATGAATTTCCCACTTGAAACGTTTGCATGAGTACATTTCTAGTTGCTCTTTTGTGAATGAGATGCCCTAAAGTGTCAGAAGCAGGACTTCGTATTGATTCTCTCTGATTGGACTGTTTGTAAAACAATCGATTTACCTTAAATCTCGAGGGAGAGCTCATGTGTTTCCTAATCCAGTGAGTGGAGGATTTCAGCACCACGCCTCTCTGGACAGCTCCTATAACAGCACCTGCACGCGTGACAGTCGCTCTCACACACTCATGGAATAAGTGTGTCCATGGAATACTAGTCCAAAGATTCTTCAAACAAGCTTCCCATTTCTTCTGTGAGCCATGACTGAGAGAAGACTCCTTCCACCGGATGATGATCAGGGTTCCCTGTTGTCCAGGCTGGGCACCGACAGCCCTAAACCCCGAGTGAAGTTCGGGGGGATGTTCTGCAACATCGAAGGAGCTTATGAGAATAAAACCCTGAATTTTGAGTCGTACAGCCCCAGTTCTGCCAGGAGAAACCCCCGGGGACGAGTGGACGATCAGAGGGACAATTTCAGCGACACGTCGTCGAGCATGAGTGATTTCACCAGCGTGAGTCAAACCCCTCCGAACCGAACACAGTCCAGCCCGTCCTGCAGTTCACAGGGTCAGACCCTCGTTTACCCCACCGGACCCAGTCGCGTGCAGAACGGGCGACGAGAGGTAATTAAAAATTATTCAACTATTCCTGTTAATGTAGATCATGGAACTAAACTCTCATGGAACTTAAATAGCCTATATAATTTCATTTATGTAGCCAGTTTACATAATGGTTGTCTCAAAGCTTTATAAAAAGCAAGTGAAACTTGTCATTTAGAACATAATGCTCTAATAGCTAATGTTGTTTTAGCTATGGGCATATATCAGGCTCACTCAGAGATGCTAAAGTTGTGAAACAACTCGTAAATATCTACATAGCCTCCATATACACTTTTTGCCATTAGCTGGGGGGAAATGGCCCAATTAACCTGAATTAATACATATAGGCAAGGCACTTTTATTTATAGAGCACGTTTATAAAGAGAAAGCGATTCATGTCAAATTACAGAAGAAAAAAAAACTAGCCTACTATTTTTTTTTTAAAACAATTTATTTATCTGTCAGTAATAATGGTGTTTCTCTGAATCATTCGGCTTGCAAGCAAAACAGCATGGGTGATTTTTAACCATTTTATTTTATAGAACTTCTGAGATTGTGACCCAAGAATAACATGATTTTTTGTTTTCTCACACTTTTAAAACTTGGGAAACATTTTTTTAAATAAATAAAAAACATGCATTTCGGTCTTTGTTCTATCCAAAGAGTAAAATACATACACATACTTTCTTACTACTTTCTTCTTAAATGAGTAAATTTGTGGAAGTCCTAATTGTTTTAAGAATTGTGTGAATTTTGGATGGTTCCGCCTCGCCCCTGACTCTCCCTGAGTGTATGAATACTAAAGCAGCAGATGGTGGGCAGACACAGGCGGAGAGGGTGGGGGATCTGGACTGCTTTTGTCTACTGTGACTATTGAACCCCGGTAATCTTAAACTAAACTACACCCCGCCCGAATACTGACACCCGTCGCTGCGCCTTTATTCTGACGTGAGCAAAGATTCGATCATCATCGCTCGCGTCCTCTGGAATCAAAGCTGCTCCCAGACCGGTGCCATGTCTTTCCCAGGCAAGAAGAACAACCCTCGCGTCACGGTAAGAAATGTTAGCGATTAAAACCCCAGGCCACCGGTGAATGTGTGCTGGCTGCATAACAGAGACATGGTGATGAGGAGGAGGATGATGATGGTTTTATTGTGCAGTCATGGGTGAGCCGCCGCCGGCAACAACCTGCTGTCCTCGAAACACTGCTCAGAAAGCCGGTCAACATTTACGAGCTGCACTAATGCATTTCATGATGTGAGAAATGCAAAACGCTGTGCATGAGTCTGTGGTTCAGTGTGCTACGGCGGAGGCTAATGCCGGTTTCTCGTGTCCATTGTGTCTTTCATTCATTCATTCGTTCATGCATTCATGCATTCATTCATGTCGGCTAGTATCGGTGCCGGTTGTAATAATTTCTTCGTGAATAGAAAAGACGCGTTTTATCCGAAAGTGTTCAATACCGCTGCTCCATTTCCGCACAGTGCACGCGACGCGAGGATTCCACGCACGTCGCGAGCGTTCAGATCTCCTCCCTGGCCTAGACGTGTAACTGGGGGCCCTGCCCATGAGCCCTGGCCCCTAGCAAGCATTATTGAAAGCATTTTTGGTGAATGTGAAACCTATTTTACAGTTCTAACCCCTATATGTCTATACTAAATTATATGCCAATGTACCAAATCATTTGTCATATTAAAATATGTTTGTTGCCGTAAAATATGCTTAATAATAATATAGACACAACACAATGAAAAGCCATGACTTTTTTGGTCTCTCCAGCAATTGTGGTCAATTACAGAAAGACAGAGCACTTAACACACACCCATAAAACTATGGATTATTTGTATTAATTTATTTTATGATATTGATGGACGTTTTGAAGCATCAGCGTTTTGGGCGAATATAGTAGGAAAAAAAAACTATACCTCTAGGCCTACTTTTTTTTTTTTATCTAAACAAATGTAGTACTAATCACACAGGTAGTAATGGCAATCTCCATGAATAGTTTCATTAAATGTTAAACATAATTAAACATTCTCAGTAAACTACGTTTATTAATTTAATTTTACTATTTATTTTAAGTTAAAAGT